CCAAGTAGTACTCGATAAGGAATCATCTAAAGTTTTATTAATTATTAAATCACCATTAAATCGTAATTAAATACGGGAAGCAGTAGTAACATAAAAAAGTAGCGAAAACGTTATAGGAAATATTGAAAATATAATTAAAATGATGGGCCAGTGCTAGATCATATAATAGGAAAACATGTAGTGACTTATGTACTTGGCCTCAATAATATGATATCAATACTTTTTGTTAGAGGAATTCACAGCAATCCTGTACTTGGCGTAGTTTTTTACACGTAAGTGTTTTTTGGGGGATTCACCTCAGTTACGTGAACTCGATATCTCAACACAACGTTTAGTCTTTACGAGTACTTCCGAGGAAAACGATGATTTCATCAATATTCCCAATGATAATCAGAAACGAATTCTAATTATGGAGAATGTTACTCAACAGACGCATGTCTGCATTGTCTCACAGCAATATATTTTTATTATTCAAAACAGTATGTTGGATCTGTATTGAAAAAAAAATTCATTTTCAAATTAAGAACTTTGGACGTACAATAATTAAACTATTGTCAATCATACATGATTGTATGATGATCAACTTTTTTTTCAATTCAGCAGCTTGATCAGTGATATGCATTATTTATGACAGCCAATCAGGTCGCTTTGATATAACGATTAAATGATACCACGATAAGATCCAATACTTGAAGAAACTGTTGTTTCTATGTATAATCAGATAAAAAGTGGAACGCGTTATTGGAATACCTATACATCTTCCTTGCATGATAATAAATAATAAAAACGATAATTTAACTATATTGAATATTAAATATCAGTCATCACATCGCTAGATACAAAAAGTTATAATATGTTAAAGCACAGTATGATCGATAGACGTCAATACCAATTTTCCATTCGAGGTGTAAGATAATCAAGATTAAATATGATTTAATTATTACTGAAAATATTCAATATTTAAATTTTACATAATAAGTCAACTTCCATTACACGTATACACATACTCGACGTATAAAAATGAATCATTTGAAAATTCGATATCCTCATTACCTTATGATAAAATATAATGATTTTCAGCTCGAATCTTAATGTTATATTTTCACGCATTAAATTTTTAACTAAAATTCTCAAAATTGTTTACTCCTTATTTGCCTCAAGCTTTCCTATTATCACCATCACCGAACCACCTTAACTGATTGCGGTCGTAATACTTTTTGATACGAGTATCCTGCCAGAAATATACCGGATGTCAACGGCACAGATTTCATATCTATTCCAAATAAAATTTGACGGACGTTACGAAAACTCAACAAAGCTATACAGTCCAAGTCATACATATATAAGTCTTTACACTATAGATAAAAATTGGTTTAGCGCATACAAAGTACATTATGCCCTATAGAGTGACCTGAAATCAAGAAATCAAGTAGAGCAAATGTTTGTGATAAATAAAAAATATGAAAAATCAACGTGCAAAGTTCTACGAGATAAGATAAGTGAATTCTTGCAACTTAAAAAAATTTTACAATCGACGTAAAAACGTATATTCCTCAAGAAATTATCTAAGTATTTTAAAAGTTAAGTTTAACTTATCGAATGGATAATTCGTTGTCTTTGACGCAATATTTTTACATGGGTATACTCGTTAACGAAAAATTAACATTTCATTTATATCGTTTATTAACCTTACGAACTCGTAGAATTATTTTATACCAGGAGTGTTTCGCAGTAACGACGCCAGTGGGGTTCAAAGGGTTAATTAATACTGGACGTTAAATAATTAAAGACGTCTCTGCCATTTGACAGTTTCGAAATAAGGAATTCAGTAAGTACGTTACCACGTGTAACGTGTAATTATTAACCTCAAAATAAATTATGACATGGATCAACAATAGATATATACTCTAAACCAACAACCAGCTAAATACATACATTCTTAGAGGAAATTATCGATATTTCCCATACACGTGACACACTTAAACAAGATACCTCGAATGGTATCTGCATTTTTTCAGTAAACTCAGTTCCTCGGAATAATCAATAAATATTTCAATTAATCTATACGTTTGCCGAAGTGAAGAGAAATAAATCTATGTCAGTTCATTTTTTTTTCCGTTATCCATCAAACAGCTCCGCTATCCTGCTTTGTCAAATAAAGGTAATGTATTGTGAAAAAAAGGTAATATACATTTATTATTTAATATTTAATAGCTATAACCATGCCGGCAAATATTGATCCTGAAGATCCTATAGAAATAATATATGAACTACCTTCGCGTGGCTCCTGCATGTCTGCGTTTCAATGATATTTCATCGTTCAGTATCTTCCGATCGCTCTATTTTAGCTTTAATATTTAGTATCAAACAAGCAAACCCCCACTTTCAGTATACAGTCTGCAAGATTTTGCAGCTCATAAAAAATAATAATAAAATATTCCATATAGTGCTAGAGAGAGACAGAAGACAGAGAGAGAGAGAGAGAGAGAGAGAGAGGGGGGAGAGAGAGAGGGAGGGAGAGAGAGAGAGAGACATTGATTGATTGCAATTTATTTTTAAAACTCTTACAGAACCCTACATCTATATTCGATTGGAAAATATGATCTTGCTTCGTATACTCCTACGTCTAGCTACTATGGTGCAGGAAGAGAGGTAAAAAAATGTTATTAGATCATAGAGCAAGCTCCTTAACAACCATAGATCATTTACACGAACGAAGACAAGCTTCGATTCTCTCCTCCCATAACAGATTATAATAAGAATGCCTCCGGAAGTAACGAAATAGTAGGAGCCGTACTGACTGGCAGCGGCAGTAGGGAGAACCACAGATCAGAAAAAATCTTTGGTACGTTACGGTACTGATAGGAGGAAGATGAAGCACATTTGTCGAATATTAATTTTTGATGTCTCGCAACATCAGGGTTCGATCGTTGCAGCTCGTAAAATATTCTTGAAGACTTAGGAACAGTGTTTTATATGAGGAATTCTAACAGAGACCGTCAAGGATCGCAATGCTGAATTCATTCCATAGCGGGACCGGACACGTGCGCATGGCACGGGAGTGGCATAACTAATCTAACACAGTTGTTCGGCGCTACACGCAAATTAATTGAGAGAAAGAGAAATAGAAAGAGAGAGAGAGAGAGAGAGAGAGAGAGAGAGAGAGAGAGAGAGAAAGAGAGAGAGAGAGAGAGAGAGAGACAACGGTGACCGGAAAAAGTGAGGAATGCCAGCAACTGCAAGAGGGAGGCACTGAGTGAAAAAGATTAAATTCCGCGACTTGAAAATTTAATTTAGATTCAATGCGTCGCCCGGACAGAATGACAGCTGTCAGTTTTGAAGGAGACGATTGGCAACTGGACCAAGAAAGTTCCAAGTTTCGACGAAGCGACTGAAATTTCAATTTTTATTATCATTATTATTCAGGATAAACTTATTGCCTGAAGTTAACCTGCCCATTTAATCTCTACGAAGACGAGGGTTGTGCAGGAGACGTGAAAAAAAATTCAGCAACTCTAACGGACATTATCGTCACTTATGCTATCAGGTCTTGATTAGAATACAGTGCCTCATTTCATTTTCTATTGTCATAGCAATTTTTATTTTACGTTTTGTGTATATGCCGAAAGTTACGGCGAATCGAGCATATTTAAACTGCTATGGTATTCGATATAGATAAGCCTAACCGAGTCGAGCATTTCGTGGGCAACTCTATATGGTGTTCAAAAATAAAGTGTTGTATTTTTTAATGCAAAAAGGATGGCAAATTACCTGCGCTCCTTCGAGCTAGAGAGTCTTTGAAAAAGCAAGGTTTTTAGTGCGAACAATGACCTTGTGTAAAATGAAGTAGCGCGTGGATCGGGAAAGAAAAAGTAAAATACAGGGTTAGTCAATAGAAACGCACCAGCAGAAGTTGGTCGCAAGTGGCCGACACGGCAGTGTGGCCTCTTCAGAAAATGACATATGACTGTGACGGATTTAAGATAAGCGAAAACTGACAGTTCGCATAGCAATAAGGTTTTTGAAATATTTCAATAGTTTGGTTACTGAAATAATTAATTAATATTGTAATGACAAAATGTAATGTCAGTTAAGATTTATTTTCACAACAGATTTTTTTCCTGGACTTTTTTGCTATAAAAACATTTCAATTAATCGATTTTTAAATTAATTGCAGCATTGTATTCCAGAATTGCAGTTGTGATAATTACTTGGAAATATCAAAATTGTGAATATTTTAAACTTTACATTGTTTTAATTGCAATCTGTTGTGAAAATAAATCTTAACCGATATTACATTTTGTCATTACAATATTATTTAATTGTTTCAGTAACCTAACTATTGAAATATTTCAATAACCTTATTGCTATGCGAACTGTTAGTTTGCGCTTATGGGAATCGGTCGCAGTCACATGTCATTTTTTGAAGAGGCCACACTGCCGTGTCGGTCACTTGCGGCCAACTTCTGCTGGTGCGTTTCTACTGACTAACCCTGTATAGTAAGAAAAGGGAGACATCATTATCAGCCGTTGCCAAGGCTTTAAATATAATCAAAAACCAGAGGGCCTCGAATATCTACACGTGCGACACGTACAATAAATATTAAATCTAAAATGGCAAGATGACGTCACCGGCGACATCAGCTATATTTAAACTGTATACAAGAAAAAGATTATATAACCCTATCTAAAAAAAATTAGCATATACCGAACTGTCATAAATGGTCTAAAAAAAAAATCGATTAATAAAATGATATCGAGTAGCACACCCGTTGCGTAATAACATAGTAGGAGGAAACATTTTTCTCTCTTATCATCCGTAATTATCTTAAACCTCAACTGTAATAATAATTGCATCGTGTAAACTGTCATTGTAACGAAACACCAAAGTGCGCGTCTTATCTGCCGAGTATTTCGACGATGTTTTCGATGATCCGATTGAAGCTTTAAGACCATAGCGCGTCGCTGGCAGAATGAACGGTGACGTCACGTGGAAATAAAAAATGATAATTCAGCCATCAATTTTTAACGGAATCCCGAAAGCCTTCGGGTCGATGAATTTTTCGACATTCACTCGCGTCCCTGTTACACGATGTAATGTGATTATCCACGATTCCTTTCCGCCGTAGTAAATATAGCGACTCGGGTGAAACACGCGAAACGAACGCGTTAACTTTTCAGTTCTTCGTACCGATTACGTCACTATTCAAACTTTGACACACTTCCTAAAAAAACCTGACTACAGTCTAACGCGTAACCCGATAGCCGATGTACGTTTTACTTCTCTTTTTGTCCAATCTCGCAACACCATTGGACATAGCCAAGCGCAACTGTCAGAAATGGAATTGGGTTTAAAAAGCACGAGGGAAGGATGGACAAATTATCCCAGGTAATCGATAACAGGAGCCTCACCTTTTATGTGTAAACCTAGTGGTAACACGTAACCCTAAAAAAGTGGCGTGTAATTTAGAAAAAAAAAAAAATAATAATAATGAAGAATCGAGAATATTTTACTTTTGGGAGTTTCGTGTGGCACGGTACGTTTAGTGAGCAACAAATACGTGTAATTAAAATTACAAAGCTACAGTCACATTTCCCTTAATCGTTAAAAATGGATTTGGCCTGGTTTGTCTGATATAAACTGATCTGGTTCGATCAGTAATAACTTGCAAGTCAAACGTCGATTGACAATAGATATCGATAGCTTTCGTATATAAAATAATCATCGAATTTTAATTTCTGATAAGCTCGCTGTTCCTTGAAACCAAACGTGTTATCGCATTGTAACAAACTCAGTTGGGCAGAACCCCGACTGGCAACGCACGCGTCCATCTTTATAACGAAAACCCAGTGATACATCGGCATCACGCACGACCAGTCGCAAAGCCAATAGCAGTGTTAGACTCATAAAACGAACGGAACTAGTTACCCATAAATATAGTTAAGCATTAATATAATTAGCGAATAATTCGTGGCAGTGTTAATTTTTAAAAAATTCGACAAGCATATAACCTTAACAAATATATATTTTATGTACACGAAGAATATCGATTGGAATTGAAACAATATTTTTCTCTTACTTCACCTCTAGCGATACACTCATCGCCAAAGATAAGAATAATGGTGAATTGTATGTTAAATAATAGCATGAGAGTGAAAGTGATCTTAATTGTGAAACGAAACGTTCCGATCAGCTCCTTTTAAAAATTTTACCAGTGGATCATTCGGGTCTGAGGAAAATCGTGAATCCGATCGCGAATAATTATTTATTGATAAATGTTCGATTAGAGCAACGTCAAAAATAATATCTAAGTGGATCGTGCACCGTAGGTGACGTCACAATTAAAAATTTTCATTCAATCCAATCAATTGATCTGATCGAACTGGATAAATTTTGCCAAACCGGAAATGAGTGATCATGAAGGCAATAAAAGGGAACACAGTCTTCTCTGCTTGACCGCTATTTACGTGATCCACGTGGTACTCTTCCACGTGTTTCTACCCCCGAAACTGTCAGTCACGAAAATCACCCTCACGTCAAAGTTCGACGAGCTATCCACGATCTGGAGAACTCACTCGGCTAGAGATAACGAAACGAGACATTCAACGTTTCTAATGGCTAACATAACGTCGGGCATAAGAAACAATAATAGTGAAATTTTGAAAAAATCTTTTAATAACGAATCACCAAAATTAATGGAGGCCATCGCAGGACAATTTCCACAGCAGGTATCGTTATCGAAGCCATGATACTTAAGAATTCACGTTATTAACAGCAATTTCGAAGAATGTGTATTCACATGCGTGACCTTCGTACATTATCATTATTATTATCATACGGTTATCATACGGTTTATCATTGTTATCGATCCGATCAAATCAATAAAAACGTCGTTTACCAACTTCTTCGCTTTTACGAGCAGACGGCTCATTTGTGCTAATGTTCAAAAAAATATCAACCCTTAAGAGCCCTAAAGCATACACGTAATTATAAATATATAAGGTAGAAGAGGGCATTTAAGGAAATAAAAAGTTCCTGTGTCGACCTCTGTATTAGTTGGCCGTTATTATTATTATTATAAACTTTATCAGACTCTTCAATGTCGATAACTGACTTTATCATTTATAATCAATGAGTCATCCAGCAGCCACCCAAAGCGTGAATCACACATGAAACAGACCGAGTACAAATTTATCCCAACTCCATTCTATGCCGTAAAATGAATAGTAGTATTTTTTTTTTTTAATATATAAACCCACGAAAAAAACGTAGCGTATGCAACATAATGTGCTTTAGAAGATTTCGTTTCATAATCGTAATCTATCCGACGATCGATAAGCATCTAAAAAGACCTACTTACCTACTGATACAGATTGACCAATGGCAAAACGCTACGCTACACTCGCCCCTAGTTCCTCGTGGTAAAATCGATTTGATACAGTCAATTCGTTGTAATGTCAACTGGTGCAAACTATAGTTAAGCAGAACGTGTTATTATATCTTACTATCTCGCATGTTCAGACAGCAGACACATTTGTCTACAAACACGTGGTATCAGATACTCAATAGTCGTCATGTTTGTCATTCTCGACTGGGTGAATATACAAATTTACAATACTATTTCTTTATTTCTCATAGGTTTCCATTCAAGACCTCAGAGGGAAACACATGTGCTCCGGCAATATTATTCACAAGGATTGGATTCTCACTGCCGCCCACTGTATGTACTCGTAAGTGTGCTCTGTAAGTGAACAGTAAGATTAGCCATTTAAGAGCCTATCGTCGTCTCCGTTATCGATAAGAATTTACTACTACAATTGGACAGGTCCGAGAAATCGTTATTATTGAAAAATATCAACGTTCATGCCGGTGACGTTCGATTAGGCGAGTTTTCCGAATTCTCACAGAGGAACGAAGTAATTAAAATATACGTCCATAAGTATTACGACAATGAGTCGATGGAGAATGACGTTGCTTTGCTGCAGGTATTAATTTATTATATTTACATACGATATTATCCTTCGTTGCAGATATTAATAATAGCGTATTATTTATATTGCTACGTCATGTTATTTGTAGCTCAAATCATCACTTTCATTGGATGATTTGATAGTGTCTGCTGTACGTGTCCGAAACTCTGACGTACCAACTTCTACGGAATGTAGCATCGCTGGTTGGAATGTTGGCAGTCCTGTAAGTATAACGTTACCTTAATCTTGTTACATGAGGGATAACATAATTCTTTTTTTGTCTAATGAGATCGAAACAATGATTTATTTGCCTTTGACAGAATAACCAAAACAACGACGCTCTTCTATACGAGAGCGTCGCCATCATGCAGCGTGACGTGTGCGGAGCTATTTATTATAAGCAATCTAGAAATTCCAAAAGCATGATGTGTGCTAAACATGTTGATGATAATAGAAATACGTGTCTGGTAATTATCCATTCTGTATATAGATTAATTAAATATTTTTGTGACACATCGATTGTGCGTTATCGTTAATCCTACTGCAGGCTGATTCTGGAGCTGGTTTAATTTGTGGGAATGGTCTGACTGGTATTTTAATAAGGAAAAACTGCACGTCCATTCCGATTCCTTCTCTTTATATGGATATACGTCTTTACGTCGATTGGATCAAAGAAATAACGAATTTAACAACGTCGTACGATGGCAAAAGCTTTCGTGCGTCTATGACGTCCACCTCAGCGACATCATCTGTCAACAGTAGGAACTTCAGCCCTACTGCTTTAGGAATATTTCTTGGCTGTCTGGCATTTTTATTAACATTTACAGATCACGACAGAACGAAGGCTTAACGTTGGATATAATGTGGTAATAGGAATTTTAAATCTTTTATATTTTTATCATGTGCAAACTTCATTGCTGTATGCTATTCAATGTACTCATGCGATTGCATTAATTATTGAGCTTAGAATAATTTCTTCATACTTCTCATGTTAGAGCCAATATCTATATTATTATTATTAGTATTATTATTACTGATATGGTATACTCTTCCTAATTTTATTGTAACATTGTAACATTTCACATTGTTTTCATTATCAACAGCTAAGATTTTGCGTTATAGGCTTCATTGTTATAATATTTATGACGTATACTGAAAACATTTCTCGCAGTGTACGTTTTATCATTTGTGTATATATCTGTATACATATATCTTACGAAACTGTGATTGCAATGATAATTAAATACGTATGAAACAAGTTACATGTATAGTTTTACAATACGTTAATAAGCACGGAACGCGTAAGTACAATGTCACAAGTAAGATTAACGTTTAATAAAATAATTTCTTCAGGATGTATTACACGTTTTTAATGTCCAATATATTATAACAACAATTCATTGAAATCAGCTTGCAAAATTCTCTTTCGTATTATAAGCTGGTGCAACTTTATGCAGTGTATGATGTACTTCGGCCAATTAACGTTCGCATCATCGGAATCCGCCAATCAAGAAAGAGCTTACTTATTACAGCTGAATAAAAATGCATTACTGCGTTACGTATTTTTGTACACTCAGCATTAGTGATGACTGCAGAAATGAGTAGGAAGATGCTTAACGGCCAATGGCTTTAGGCGATACCAAAATCATGGCGCTAAATCGTAGGGGTGTATTATATTGCAGTGATATATTTTAATATATCTCTAATGGCATTGTTATTACTAAACTTTCGCAAACCATACTTTGTACATTGTATTATTATTGTATTGTAATTTATTGCATTTATTGTATCATTACTGTACTTTGTATATTGTATTATTATTGCGTTTGTTCAATAAATTATCTTTAAACACTTATACGTTGATACGTTGATATTCTTTTGCCCTATGCGAATATCCCAGAGTACGAATGAGTTCTGTCTCTTTCTTACACTCCTGTGTCCTAACCATAGAGTTAATACAGATAGAGCAGACAAGCCATAGGCTGCTCTGCAAGTGGAAGTGTCCGTTCGCTCGTAATGAGAAAGAAAGAGATAGCTGAACCCCTTTAGATATCCGTCTTTGCACCCTGATTTGCATCTATCTCTCTCTTCGCCGCTGCCGCGTTGAGAGCTGGCTTGTCTGCTCTATCTGTATTAACTCTATGGTCCTAACAGCATCCTTCTCCTCTCTTATGCGTCGAAACTCCAGTGGGTCAATGTTTATTAAAGTATTTACATTAGTTCGAATTTTCGCCGATAAGTCTAAAGGGGTTCAGCTATCTCTTTCTTTCTCATTACGAGCGAACGGACACTTCCACTTGCAGAGCAGCCTATGGCTTGTCTGCTCTATCTGTATTAACTCTATGGTCCTAACAGCATCCTTCTCCTCTCTTATGCGTCGAAACTCCAGTGGGTCAATGTTTATTAAAGTATTTACATTAGTTCGAATTTTCGCCGATAAGAGGGCAGCACCTTCTGGATAGATGTAGCGGACGCGGACACAAGTCGTTTATATTTTATCTAATCATGAGGAATATATTGCACTCAGGTAAGTTTCACACACGTAAGCTTGATTTCTTTTGTTTCAGGTACAGAGGTATACTATCTACTGTGGACGCCATGGAACGCTCTGGAAGACTACTGACTACCCTACGCTTGCCGTAGCGCTGCGGTCGACTTCCTGCCAGCGACGGCCGGTAGGTATGGCAGTGCTTGCCCTAGTATGGTCGGTAAGTACCGTCTGCTGTTCGCTCTCTACACAGGATAAGTGGCGCCATCTCTGAGAGAACGAGTGAACTTTTGCATAGAATCCTCTCTACCCACACAAGTGCCCAAGGGTCAACGACATGTTGGAGCGTTTTTAGCAATGCGAACAAATTATACTAAATACGCGAGAGCTAGAGACCTGGTTAGATTCACTATACGAAAGACCATGGCTGTAGATACCCTAAGGGGGCTCAAGGCCCCCGTCGGGAGACCCATAAGGTCCTGTTGCGGCCACAACTTGGGCCCGACCCACTGAGCAAGCTCAGCGGATGAGGCGGATGGGCAATCCCCGACACCATGGTCTTTACGTCTAGCTGCACTAACAGGGTGACTACTCTTATAGGACTACTTGAATTAATATGCTCGACCCGACCAAAGGAATAGGAAAAGTAAGACAAATACAATGAAAAGTGAGAGGGAACAAGGCGAAACGAGAAGAACGAAATGAAGATAGAAGTAAAGACGTGAAGAAGTGAGGAAGTAGAAAAGTAAGGAATAGAGTTATAAAAATGGAGAAGAAATGAAGAAAGAGATAAATAAGAAAGTGAAGAATAAAAGATAAGGAACTAAGGAATTAAAGAAGAAATAAGTATAGAAGAAGAAGAAGGTTGGAAATGGATATAGAAATAAAGAAGTGAGAATAAGATAATAAGAAAGAAATGATAAAAGTGAAAATAGGAAAGAAAAGAATATAGAAATGAAGTGAAGAAGTAGAAATGTAAGGAATAGAGTTATGAAAGTGGAGAAGAAATAAGGAAGTAAAGAAGAAATAAATATAAAAATAGAAGAAGGTTGGAAATGTATATGGGGGGTAGTTCCAAGAGACCAGTATAGGAGACCGGCTCGAGGAAGAATGAGCGCTCCGAGTCCGGGCACTGCCTCGAGCGCTCCCTCCACTCTCCGCCTTCACCCACTCGCTGAGTCCTGTGCGACGAATTTGCGCGCACACAATTTTGGGCAACTTCCAGTACTTCTAAATATGCTTGGCATGAATTTCTGATCTCTGAGTGTTAATATTTTACTTTATAGATTTAATTAATTATTTTAATGTTACAAACACTTAATTTCTTAATATTTCAATTTGAATGTAATTTGTTTTCGATATTCGACAATTTCAATTCAAATTTTATCTACTCCGTATATTCTGCGAGATTTTTATTTAGCCTCAATTTTATATTTTGAATAAATTTTGAAAGTAAATCAAGATCCAATAATATTTAATAAAAATTAAAGTGCTACGCGGGTGTCAAGTTGACACTTTCTTAAAAATGTCTTAAAAATATTTCGACAACAGGTTTTTCAATAATTCTTGAAGTTCTATAATTCCCGGTCTCGTTCTAAGAGATGGTTTGGGAACCAGCGGTTGATCACGAAGAACCTCTGCCCGCCAAGCTATGCGTTCGTGTTACGTTTAGCTCGGCTACGACGGGATTTGCATTGTCGACGGAGGCGATGATCACAAAATCCTACTTCCAGACTTGCCGCTACCATTTAGCGGCATGATTTTGGTATCGCCTAAAACCGGAGCATTGTGCATCTTCCTTCTCATCTCTGCCGCTGATCTCTGCGTTGATTATCTCCGTGTTAAGCTCTGGTGCATCTCCGTACTCACCTCTGCCTAAAATCGTAACGTTGAACATCTCCCTATTCATCTCTGTCAAGAGTGAGGGACACAGCGGAGGGTCTATAATCCACTGTGAGATAACGTTTTCTGTAGAAATGAGCAAACAGCAGAAACCGTGATTTAACGAAACGATATTGAGAACGAGTACAAACCTTCTGTGATATGATCGAATTTTTACAAGCGTCGCGTAATTCGTGGCATAATTTGCACAGCTGATCGCACGACATCGGTCTCAGGGAATTCTCTTCCTACGTATCTGGAATAGATTAGCAGACGTACGATGGCTGGATTTGTGCTCAGAGTCAAGACAAAATCGGGTCAGAAGGTTGTGAACGGATTGACTCTACAAGACAAAATATCGGAATTAAAGGCCAAGCTCTCTGAACTTACGGGAATATCTAGCAAGTCTCTTCACGTTCTCGCTGGATTTCCACCTAAGGCTGTTGATCTTTCTAAAGAAGCTGCTACTTTGGAAGAGAGTGGTATATTGTCTGGTGATACTTTGATTGTGGAGGAGAAACTAACTGTTTGTAATGGAGAGGAGAAACCTGAAGAGATACCTCGGTCTCATATCGTTAACTCTGAAAACATTGTTGAAAGTCCTGGTGTATTGATGAAGAAAATTGTGCCTGCTGATAATTCTTGCCTATTTACCAGTATCGGTTATGTCCTTAACGGTAAGATATTATGTCTGTGGATCCATTTTCCACCATTAGGATAACTGGATTAATTGAAGTAATTTAGGGAAAGTGGATCTTACCTGTGCAAGCTTTATGAGGGAGATTATAGCCAATACAGTTGCTGCGGATCAAGAAGAATATTCAGAAGCAATTTTGGGCAGACCTAACCTAGAATACTGCAATTGGATCCAAAAACCTGAATCTTGGGGAGGGGCTATTGAACTCTCTATCCTTTCTAGATTCTTTGGCATAGAAATTGTTGTGGTGGATAGTATCAATGCTATTATAAATAGGTTTGGAGAAGATCAGCAGTATGCTCACAGGGTCTTCCTAATTTTTGATGGCATTCATTATGATCCCTTGTACCTGGAACCTCTTGATGTAAGTCACCAGCTTTTTGATTCTTACCTTCAATCATTTTCATAGTTGACGCACCAAAAAACACTAATTTTTTTTATAGCGTGGCAGTATTCAAACATTATTCCCAGCTAATAATGAGAGATTACTAGAGGAAGCCACACAATTGGCAAAAGAAGCGAAATCTAGTCGTCAATATACAGATGTGCAAAAATTCACACTCAAGTGTATGGTCTGCAATGTCATGCTCAGTGGACAAGTCGCTGCACAGCAACATGCAAAAGATACTGGACATACAAGTTTTGGAGAGGTAGCTGCCTAGCGTCATAACCTTGTCAGTTCACAACATAGAACACGTTCTACTATTAGACTGTTGTCTGATATCCCAATAATCAAATGTTCCTAGCATGAGGTTCGAAAGTTTCTTCAACTAGCGACATTAATATTGAGAATAAAATATAAACCCGTAACTTTCCACGATAATAATAAAAATAAATTAGACCATTAAAGAGTAGTGACTGTACAGCTCGCCATGAATGTGATTCTGATTTTGATTTCGATTAAGCCGATTACACATCTGCGGTCTTTGGACGTAATTGTCAAATAGAATTATTTATAATTGGCAATGACATTAAGAATCTGTTCCACTCTACATTCAATTATGTCTGATGGAAATAAAAAGTAGTTTGCAATATAACGATAATAGGATTTCTTAGAAAGCTGGTTGCGCATTCAATTAAATATTTCAGTGTAGACCTACACATATTTTTTTGCAACCACAATATTAATCGCGTATTCAGGGGAGGGGGAACGTGAAGATTTTACTTAAAATCATAAAATTCTGTAACTAGTATCAGCCAACTGTGATATTCGATTCGATAATTCTACCAAATGTTCCTCTGTAAGGTAACAGACTATGGGCTATCTTGGTACGATTACTGGGCATATTTTCAGTATAAAATTTACACGTTCCACGTTTCCTATAATCAGGTAAATCGAAAAATTATACGTGAACGTTCAATAACCCCCATAATGGATTAGGCATCTATATTGAGTGTTCTTTTTAATGGTAAATAAACAATTTTTATTCGCGCACCTGCTATTCTTGAGGAGTACATAGATAGACTGTAAGCGCTAATTTGCGCAAGATTTATCAAGATTAGAATTGAGAGGTGGATGGTTTAAGAAATTGGAATAATTGTCCCTCTTATTCTAATTGGTAAATTAATTTTTTTCTTATCAATTCGCTTCTAACGATCGGTAAAATTTTTATAGTAGCTCAATTAATGCGAAAGACGTTTTTTATTTAAATCATAATTTTTCGCTCAAAAAATTTTAATGGAACATACATTTACAACACAGATATTTACGTGAAATAATACGCAAAAAAGAGTTCATAAGACTTTTGCCTACAACTTCTAAAATTCAATTAATCAATTTAGGCGATTTTACGCGTTTCAATGATTTTTTGTCAATCACAATGTGGAAACGTGAAATGAGATATTTACGCATTGCACATTAACGCCGATTTTAATAGTTCTTGCATTTTAAACAATTTGTTTGTAATCTGCGATGTGAATTAATAAAGACTGAGGCAAGATCACGGTTTGCATTACACATTTTACTAGTACCGTCACGAGTTACTCTGCTTTTTTTCTTATTGATATCAAAATTCATTGATGAGAAATAATTCACCTTTATTTTAATACGGTTTATTGATTAAGAATAAATTTGGGTAATTGCAATACTGATCATTATAATTATTGTGCAATATCGAATAATTAATATATTTATCACGATGAATCTAGATAGGAAGGCAATTAAAACCGTATTAAATTATACATTGTTGAGTTTAATACTACACGGATTATTATTCTACCATGAATCTCACCGAAGAAATGATAAATATTCAAGGTTTTTTAATGATGGAATCAACTCGCGTGTTGACTATTATTCTCTTTATATTCCAGATTTATGTTTATATGCTCGTGCAGCGCATTATATAACTACCATCCTTCTGTTGTAATATTTGCATTTGAAAAAGTTAAATAAATCAGATTTAGCTTAATAGCTTTTCATTGATTTTTAATAAAATTCCTTATAAAAAATATCCTCACTGACATAGACATCAAATTGAAATAATCGATCAAGTATCGACATGGTTTTCATTCTTATTTTCTATTAGTGTACAATTACAACAGCATATAATTAATCGACTTTTTCATTTCAATTCTTATTCTTTTTTTTTCGTATATATTATTATATAAAAATTTTTGACCTGACATCGATTAAATATATTTTTAACCACCAATCGGTTGTATAGTAGTGATACATGGAGTAGGAGTACTAAGGATTACTAAGGGGTAATGAGGATTGTCAATAGTATGAGAAATATTAGCGGCATCGATAGAGTCCAATAAATCTTTGGACAAATTGTCCGTAAGCCAGGAATTGATAACCTTTAAATTCTTCTCGTTCCACTTCGTTTCCTCTAAAATATTTTTTAATGCATCCTCAATTATCCAATTGGCGCTGTCCAACCCGCTTTGCTTAGATAAGCAGTGGAGTCCAGAAACCAAATCGTAACCTTCTTGAGTATTAAAGTTTGAAGTAGCAGAACTAACGATTCCATCCCATAAATGTTTATCGTCCTTGTATCTCTCTTTTAGAACGTTCCAATTTTGTTTAAGGAAATGATATAGAGTGAGGTAACCACCTGCACTTCCGGTCAGCATGCTTAGGACCAACTGAATATCAGAGTTTGTAAAATGCGAGTTTTCCTCTAGTAATGTCATGTTTAAAAGTCTAAAACAAAAAGAGAAAATAATAATCAGAATTTTCTAGACAACTATTTTTGAATTTTCTATTACTTACTTTTCAATGCTTAACAGATCTCTGGTACATCCTGCTAATGTCTTTAGGAGGTACGTTCGTTCACTTTGTTTCCGCTCCAAGGAATTTTTAGGGAAATTGATGACACGTTGAAGACCAAATTCCCATTCTTCCTTTGTGCCCCATTTGAAGACTGGACAGATAAACTCGTTGCTAACCCTGTAATGTTTGTAATATGTGTATTGTTTAATTTCATTGTATTAGATTCTCGAAGGTTTCAGGATTAATTTTCTGTTTTAAATTACTAACGGATTTCCTTTATCTGGCTCCTCACTGTCCATCCATTTTTTGAATTGTTCACGTGCTTCCTGTATGCAGGACTGATATCCAACGCGACACAAGAAATTCTTCGTCAAACCTTTCATATGAATCATCCAAGACGGTTCTTCGCGATAACTTTTCGAACTTTCCAAAAGATATTCATAAAGTGGTTCCAGTAAGCTGCGAATATATACCTATCGCAAGAATGAAAATATTAAAGTTTACATTTTTAAGTAATTTAAAAAAATGGAATCTGAATTTTTAATAAATCCATAGTCAAGATGAATCCTAACGTATCTATTTCCTTCGTAAACTCACTTCAAACTTAGCATAAACGTCGCTAACACCTTCGATGCGTCTTCCGACGTGATCGATCAGCGTGAACAATGGTTCCCACACCACGTGACTTCTCTCATTTTTCAAAAAATGTGTCATGTTCAATGCAGTTTCAAAGCACAATTCCCCGCCGTAAGCGAGATTCCAAGCGTCGTGAAGTAATTTTGCTCTTGTCAAAACGGGAATCATCTGGCGATTTGGTCCTTGCAGAAACTCCGCCAGCATCTTCCAGTTGCAGGAATCATAATTCACCGGAAACATGCCTGCGTCAATAAAAAACAAAAATCTCTGATTAACCACAAGTATAATCTTGAGAAGTTATATCTTTCTCATAAGAATAAAAACAAGCGTTCTCATAGACGAGTCGCGACGTTCCACGTCACATAAGTGTAATAAGAATCATGAACTCTATACCAATCTCTTCAGGATTCACAATGATGAAAGAATTCTTGTCAGTGATGTCATGTATCGTCAAGTTGCCATTTCCTTTGGTCATCCAAGCGACAGGTTTTGTGTTACTAAAATTGAGGTTATCCTGAGGAAGCATCACTATAGGTATGTCCCATTCGTAATTTGATTTTGCTACAACACGGGAAGATGTTTCTCGCAGAAAGACTTTCTGAAAAATATGCAACGTGTTTCCGTAATCGTTGATTAGCTCAGCTAGTAGCATAATTTATTTATATACAATTCGCAGTATAGAAAATTATTTAAAAAATTTTCACCTGACTGAACATCATAGTTCCGGCTTCGTAATCACGTGTCACAGTAACCAACGGTACTCTATTTCTTCCAATCCAAGGCGCTGCAATTTCATTGATGGTGAGTCCTTCCGGTAGATTGTTGGTCTCGTTGGCTACATCGTTAAGTCTGCTGTATATATCATCAGCAAAGAAGATCCTTGGAGTCCTAATTAAACTTAGCCAGTAACGATTAGTCGAGCTACGTGATTAAGAGGGCATCGTGTAAATAGTAGCCGGAAACCAAAAACAAAAATACGATTACAAAACAGTACCAAATATTATACAATCGAGCGAGAGTGAAATTGTCAAAACTTCTTTTGCCCGAAGAAATAAATATTTTCGACAAAATAATCCCGTAGATATTAGACTCTAGCGTCGTGGCTCTACCGACAATAAATAATGGCATTCTTAAAGTGACGCAATAGCAACTGTTAATATTGATAATGGGCAAATGCTATTGTGCTTTTTATCAAGATTATGTTGTAGATTCTACATTTTATTTCTTCGTCACTGTGCATCGATGAATTTTTATTAATTGCTTCCCGGCTGACCAGTAACGGCATTACTACTCTTCCGACTGTTCCTGGTTCTCTTGCTGAACGAATCGTCGCACCCCTTTGCGGAAGAGATCCTTCCCGAGCGTGTAGCTGAACATCCGAAAGATTAGCTCGGCTGTAAGAGTAAAAGTGACGTCACGTATTTACGCTCACGCAACAACAGTTCACAAGACTATGTATCACTTAGGTGGAAACGTGTAAACCAATCTTATGACCATGGCACGAGAATACGCGATATATACACAAATGAGTCATACGATAATGTAGCAGATAAGAACAGAGTTTGAATTTAACGCAGAAAATAATACGTTATGAACTTTTGATGAAAATCGTGAAGTTATTTACTGTGGATATAATTGTGCAATTTTTTACATACTTTTGGCAGATTTTGCCTCCTCGCGTATTCCGGCGACTCTCGAGAATGGAAAAACTTTTCCAAACTCGTAGTAGAGAGAATAGAGGACAGTCATTGGCCACTTTCCATTCATTTCGTCTGGATTGATCTGTTGTCATTAATGTGAAATATTATATCGAGTATAACAGTATATGATTTTTGGTTCGTTGATTAAATAATTAAATGATTACTGACGTCGACTGTGGTCATGGACGCCAAGAAAGAATTTAATGCTTTATTGACTGGGACGTCGCTCCAACGGAATGGCGTCCTGTATTGGCCAATCCATTGATAAATTAATTCATAAGCAATGTTCCATAATTGATGACCGCTCAGTTCGCTCTCTCTGTAAATTAAAAGTACACTTAATAGCATATAGTTTAATTATCAGTAAAATACATAAATAAAAATAATTATTACTTAAAGAACATGAGACCCCAGTTGTCAGATGATTTGGTAGCAGTATAAAATGGCATGGCCATTAGGTCAAGCTTAGGAAGACCGATCGAGCAATTGAAATAATCTTGCAGATAATTTATTATTTCCACCACCTTATCCGGCACGTTTTTCAACGAATCGATGTATTCCTTACGAGCCCAGATTTTAACGTTCAATCTTGTACCGTTCATCTCATTGACCATCTTCGTTGGACTGATGCTCTCGAAATCCGTGATAGCCAGTGCCAATTGGAACGTTGACATTTCTGGCGTTTCCTTGAAATGGTCCCAGACGAAGTCTGGCTTACCGGGACTTTAATAAATACATTTTTGTTTTTATAAGGTACAATCAATTCGTACTAACTTATCAACTTGTCAACTTGTACTTACGCATCTGTACTTCTGTCAAGTTCTGTGTTCGATAGAGCCGTCATATTTTTCGGTCTCAAGACACTAAGCTGATATTTAGTTTTGTACGGTGGTTCGTCGAAGCATGGAAACATGTTTTGGGCATTGTCAAGACGAAAATATGTACCGAGTACCATGCTGCAATAAAAGATGTATTATAATGTACAACAATATAATTTAATGAAATATATTTTTACATCAGATACCCACTGACTCTTTCCAGCGGAATCGACGTATTCTCGTCTGAAGAGACCTGAAGTTTTATTTGTCGTGATGTTACCAGTGAACTTCATGTCTATTTCACATTTAGTTCCATTTCTCAACATTTGCTCCAATTCTATGACGTACCACGATTTCTTAGCGTTGTGTGTAGTTCCAGCCACATTTATTCCAGTAGCCGGTGTGATGATGTCTTTTCTAAAGAAAAACAAGAATGGCTGGGATGATACCAAAGTGTCAATTGTTTTTTTAATCAATACACTTTTAGTTGGTTAATAGGCAAAATTTGTTTTTAACCGAGTGCCACCACTTAAAATTTTGTATATCAGAGCACCGACAGCGGATCAAGATTATCTTTACCTCATTATCACCTAACACAGATAAACTATGATCACGCTGCTAAATATGCAGACTATAAGTAAACGTCTGACACTCGTGATCAAACAAATTATTGTTAACACTCGACAAGACTGTCATAAATGACAGCACTCATCTATATTCGCTCAAATTAAATTATGCATGATAGAATAAATAATATGAAAAAAAAATCAAAGGGTTGAATTTTAATTACCCAGTGTACTAACCTTTCATCAACACCTAATTCCTTAACTTTAATCCCTGAACCATCTATTGCCAGGTCGGGATGAGCATTTAGAATTATTCTGTCACTGGTATCAGTCCAAGTGATATTAATTCTGACACGTCCTTTGAACTTGGCTTCGTATATCGACGGTTCAATTTCCAGTCGATAGCTGGTTGGTCGTAATCCCTTGGGCAATCGATTTTGCCGTGATTGGTACTGATACACGTCATTGAGATCGACGCTCCGTTTTACCTTGGCCAGCCCCTATAATATAAATGACAAATTTAATCGGACCAGTGAAATAAGGATTGTTTAATCTTTCTCATCTCCTTACTTACGTTTGACGGATTGTTCAATAACGTCAGGATGAGCAGGATGCCCGTGATGAAGGCCAGACGCCTCATAATGAAGAATTGTATGGACACTGTAAAAAAAAGGAAGGGTAAGCGAAGGAGGATTTTGACTAAAACGAAAAATTGACATCAATCACAAAAAAAGTTTTTTCTTCATTTTGGTGATCTCAATAGCATTGTAGTATGTTAATAATATCAGTTTGAGGATGTCGAGCCTTGTATCCCAAATTGTAGTTTGATTATTTGCCTACTTAATTATTTCTTCTTTTCTATCATTGACGCTAGTTCCAACTCTTAAATCGGGCAACGATCCCAATCTACCTTTCTATCAAGATGCTTGACTAGGACTTGCCAGTTCGCGAGTCAACCGGTACAACACATGCGTCTGTTTAGAATAGGATTAGAGGGAGAGATATTCATTAGATAAGAGTAACGTGGGATAGACACCCAAAAGTTAGTACGCTCTCGGTGCTTAGCAAGCTTACACAGCAATTATTACCATGATACCAGGTTATGCTCAATTTTAATTAATAAACATGATAATTTCAACAAAACAGTTGCGTTGACAAAATTCGCTACAATATTCGAAAAGAAAAGTCTATTCTACAATAATCGTTGAGATCAATCGGTTAATCAGTGCTGTGAATATTTGTAGACAGTATATACGCGTGTACGATAATCACCCAAATTTGTAGCTATAATTTGAATCAATTTTTTTGTGCAGGAAACCTCTTCCTAGTGCTTTTCGGATTGTGCTTCGGTGCCCGAAAAATCGAGGGGAGTTTGGTGAGTGGTTATAATAAAAAAATAAAATAGATAAATAACATTGACGTCCAAGGAAACGTAAATATAAAAATCATCTTCTTCTAGTGTCCCGAAGAAGAATCCAAAGTAGACTCCATACAAGGGAACGTTGTAGTACCAAAATGGCCGCAGTCACCATCATCAATGGCGGTCTACTCCGATCCTCTGTGTCTATCAGAAGGAATGCAAGTGATTACCAGAGAGTGCGCAGAAAAATGGCGACCAAGAAAAAGTCCAGAATGTGCCTACACGTCGCCAAGATTCGAAGAGAAATATTGTCCACCAGGTTACCACGTAGTCATGTTAAAGAATGAGAATAACGCTAATGACTACGTCTGCGTTGGTCTATCGAAGAGCATGTGGTCGAGTACGTGTCGTTTCAGCATCGAAGGACGAAAAATTGACAAGGAAATTTTTAGCGCCATTGCAAATCATTTAAAACGTCGAAGAGTCAGGGTAGTCTGGTTGCCAGTAATGAGGCTGGACGTATTTGGTCCATTACTGTGGCAGACACCTGGCGAGAATTGGGGATCGAGGATAAAGATTCCTGATGGAATCGAGATCACGTACGGGAATCGAACGAGACGCTGCCTGATCCTTGACGTGTCCAGTGGAATAACCATAAAGCCAGAGAGCTGTGAAGTGGAGCATCCGTTTTTGTGTCTGGTTGAAAAGAATTATTTTCCAAGGGGTGCATGCCCACCGAAATATGTAGCATCGCCTATACCGGGTGATGACAGATGTTTTCGATTGATGAAAAATTCACGCGACATCACGTGGAAGAATGCCATTCAGCAGTGCACCACGGCGCAGATCAATAGTCCAATTGTGAGCAGACTGTTCGCAGGTCTGGCCAGAAAGCGGGAAATCGATAGGGATGATTTCTGCTGGATCGGTGGAGACGGTAGATACCGAAGTAACACAATGGCGATCAATTCCAAGGGTCAGATCTCAAATTTAAATTCTAATGTATCCCTGCACTGTATATTCTGTGAGATGGGTACACCGAGTTATCCAAGCGCACAGTTCAGTCTGAGATTCTATCCGGACGAGGAACAATTGTTGTTGACCGTCTACGGAAAGGACGGACTCTGGACGGAGTCGTATACGGACCCAGGCGTGCGATGCTTCACCAATGCAAATGGCGACTTCGTGAGAACAGTCGAGTTGCAGGAAGAATGGGAGATGCGCTGGACGGCTAAAGACATAGAACCGGACATCGACTTTGAGGATCGTGTGACTTTGAACTTTGAAACGCATAAAACAATCTACAGCGTAGACCTGAGCGACCAAGGGCCTGGGTACTACGTATGCGAAGGTCACAGTTTATCAAACGAATTGATCACGACCAAGCACGTGATAGCTTACAAGGAACTTGACGGGTACATGTTCGCTTTATCTCTGGAGATAATGGATGCCTGCGATAACGTCGAAAGCTGCGATCCGACGTTTCCAAAAATGTATAAGAAGCTAGCCAAGGACGTCAAGGACGCTACGCCTGATGTTCTCGTAAAGGACATAAGAGCGATGGAGGTCCTTGACGTGACTGCCGATGGAAACGTAACCGTTTTGTTTCACGTGACCATCAAGGAACTGGACGATAAGGAATCCTCGAAATTTTCATTGTCGGATGCCTATAAAATAACAGAAAGTGTCTTTCGTTTATTAGCGTCAATGTATCCCAATGTCTATAGGTTCAAATATTTACGTAGCTGCGACGGGTGTCCCGCGTCGAGAACCGGAAGTGGGACGCAGGAGATGATATGGCCGTTTACATACGTTGGCTCGAGCGCAGTTTCTCAGAAGATGTGTCTGGACTCCTCGGGTGTTCCTATTTACAGAAGTTGTATTGGCAATTACATACGTGGTGGCTCATGGGCAGAACCATCAGGATCCTGTACATCCGGCGCGTCAGAAAGAACCCGGAGGCTGTACGAGATCAGTGGAACAGTGATTGGCAAAACTGTACCCATGGACCCCGATATTGCTCATGAAATATTAGAAATTGTTGAGAGCGCTAACCAATTGACACCGGCTGACGTGTATTACTTGGCCCTGATAACAGAGCACGAGGCCAAGTACGATAATAGCGAAGTGATCCTAGAAGACATTTACAGATTCACCTCGATACTGGACAAAGTCATGGGCATGGACAAGGAGGTTATAGAGAAGTCGCAAGTACTAAATTCCACGAACGTCCTATTGGATTCTCTAGGCACGATGCTGGACACAGCAGCAACGAATATCAGCGCGGACATTCTTCTGCGGGAGGATGGCTTGATACTGATAGAAACGTCGCACCTGATAGTGCAGATTTCCGATCCAACTGTCAGCAACGTAACGGGACTTGCGCTTTTACGTAAAACGGAAAATTCGAGTAACGAGGATCACAAGAACTTCATGAGCTACACGGTTGTTCCTTTGTACGCGGATAACGTCATAGAGGGAATTGGTCTTCTGGGTGACGTTGAAGTAGCAACGTGGCTTCCTCGGAGCCTACTGAACGCCAGTACAGTCACAGCATCGGCGTCAAACTTCACTCAGAACAATTCAACGGCTTTTAACGCATCTCGCGTCATAGTGACGCTCTTCTACAGCGACCTGGTCTTCAACAGTGCTTACACAGCGGATACTAATTTTGTGGACAGTCGAGTAGTCAGTGTTTCCATTCCGGGATATGGTAGGAATCTACCGATACCGATACCACTGCTATTCAAACCACTGACAGGTACAGTGCGCAATTCAGAGACTTGTGCCTTTTGGGATTTCGAGTACGTAGGAGTCTCACCCGTCTCGTCGTACAGTGCGTGGTCGGAGGAAGGATGTCAAAATGCGGGCAGGACGCGTGACGCATCTGGTGAATTGAACATTTGTCTTTGCTCTCACTTGACTCACTTCGCTCAGTTGGTCCTGGGACACAATACGGTAGCACAAAGTAAAGCCGGCACAATATCGATCCAGCACGAGGAGGCCCTGGAGGTGATAACGGTAATAGGATGTGTGCTATCCATGATTGGTGTCTTTGGTATACTGATAACAGCCTTCATCTTCAAGTCCTGGCGCAAGAAGCCAGGAACGAAGGTCCTCATACAGCTGTCCTTAGCTTTGGGCTTGGAGAAGTTTGTCATTGGTGCTATACCCTTAGTGGACTCAGTTAACTATCCGATCCCCTGCATCGTAGTCGGTATACTCTTGCACTACGCCATATTGGCGGAATTTTCTTGGATGCTGGTTACGGCCTGGTTGCAGTTCAAGAGATACGTCATTGTCCTTGGCGTCACTAGGCCACCTAGATTTCTTCTGAAAGCTGCCGCCTTTGCTTGGGGACTGCCATTTTTAATAGTCAGCATAGTCGTTGCCATTGATCCAGAAGCTTATCTTCCACCAGCTGGTGTTAATATACGTATCTGTCAAGTTTTTGGCATGGCTCAGTATATTGGTCTTCTCTTACCGGTATGCATTGTCATTCTTCTTAATGTCATACTCTTCCTCAGGGTCATGCACAGTCTTCTCAGAACCACCAGATGCAATCCTAGCATTGAAAATGATACCACTCTGGTGTATGCACAATTTAGATTAGGTATTATGCTTTTCTTCTTACTTGGTATCACCTGGCTCTTTGGTGTTTTTGCCAAAATGGGGGCTGGATTGATATTTTCTTATCTTTTTTGCATTACGGCTGCGCTTCAAGGATTCGTCCTATTCCTCTTCTTCATTGTGTGTGATCCTGCCACGAGGAAACTTTGGTACTCCGTCATCGGGATCCGCGGGCGATTCTCTAGCAAGGGAAGTCAAATATTCTCGGCAAGCAGCGGCACGAGCGATACCAGCAATAACCGCTATTAGATGGCGGATACAAGCACTGTTAACACTGATTGATATCAGGTAATATTCGTTAGACACAAGTTAAGATGTTTTGGTAAACATCAAAGTTTAGAAAATTGTTTACTGTAATATTATTATGATCTTGCGCAATAGATTTATGTTTATCCTACTATTATTTGAAAATCAGATCACTACTACTCAGTAATATTTCACGAACGTAATAATAGAGAATCAACAAGTAAATGAGGTTCTTGTATTTTTTTTAGGATCTTTAATTTTTTATGTAAGATAGGTAATAACACTTATCTCAATAACACTTTTCAGTATATAAACACTCAAAAACTTAGGAGATAATGTGTGTATTGTGCGTTAAATTTGTATGGAATGTTTAATAAATCATTAGAATAAGGCGAAAACATTAATTATTCATATAGCCTGTACGAAATAATTTCCACCTTACCCCATCTAAGGGGTTGTCTTACCTTATTTTGATCCGATGTACACAATCTTTCTTGTCGATGAAAAAATCACCTGCGATGATGCAGCGTCGTTTGCCTACTGACTACTCGGATATTCAGAGTGCCAGATGAAGGTCCTGTTGGATGTGTTCCCACTTAAAAAAACAAGGTATCTCGTGACGCAAAAGTTCCGAAGTCGAAGCACGGAATTCCACTTAGGCCACTTGGCATAAGGGTAATCGTCTCGATGAGTCATTATCCAATTCTCGATAGGCCATAATGAAAGGATCTAAGCGCGTGAGCGACGTATGACAAGAAGCAGCGTCAATGGCCAATCAGACATGAATGGGATGAATCCTACGTAGTGGTACCAGTTACCGACACTTTGCTGCTGTATCAATCGTTAACCAGTGATTTGCCTATTGACATCCCTTAAGACAAAATTGTGTAACATGCATACATGGTACATTTGTTTTTGAGATTTGCAAATGCATTGCCAGTAGATACAACATGTACACATGTTTATGATGCATGCAATGCGCATTTACTGTAATTTTTTTTTTATTTTCAAGTGCACTTCCTATGTTTCAAATATTCGTCACCACAGACTGTACAATGTGCGATGCATGCTCGTATATGATTATGCTACTGTCAATTTATACAATACCTATGTCATGCGGGACAATAATATTTATTTGCATATAACAACAACAGTCAAATGTCAAACAAGACAATGCTGTCGAATCTTGAAAATTGCTTTTCCCATAATGTCAATAACAAATTGATCACAACGTGCGAGAAGATGTACGGGAAGGCAAAGTAAGAAGTCTGACAATAACTACAATGTCGAAATACCAAAGGTCGTACCTAGTTGTGCAACAAACGACCAATTATGAGATGATTGAAACCAGCGTTGCTGGATATTCCACATATTTATGCGCAGGTCTATGAGGTTCTAGAAAAAAATCCGTCGCAAGTGACATATCCCACGATTTTGCAGCACTGGTCTAGTCTACAGTGGCGCCAACTTCTGCCACCACGAGAACAAGCTTGACTCCGCCATTATACCCTATGCTCTCAAGGCGGAAAATTTAAAATTGATATTGATAACTTTATATGCAACTTATCGCCACGAGTTATCACGTGCAGCGTCAAGATCAATAACTTTCGTACTCTGGACCAAAGACCTCAAAGCAGACCCATAGAATTATTAAATTACTAAAAAATAAAATAATTCGAATATTCCCGAGAGACAATGTTTTTTACATATGTTACCTATACGATGTATTCAATTTAAACATTATTCCTACGAAGCATCCAGTTATTAACTGACCTCGTTATCGTCATTTAAGATTCATTCATTCGTTTATTCATTCTGTATTTTATTTCCATTGACAAATTCTTTTTCTTCGTCTCTATGGAGTACAGTCGCAGGAAGTAGTCGTTACTTACGCTTCATAATAGATCTTACTGTCCTCCTCATATGTAATGCACGTAAATATAGCATATCTACTTCCTCCTCTCACTCTTTCCAACATTCGCTGTCGCAGTCCACATATGTGACCTTGTTACGTCATCATAACGATGCATTAACGCGTGTAGGTCCCACTGCCGAAAAAATTTATTTTCCCAATGCATCCTTCGTGTGTAATGACTTTAAAGGTTTTGGAAAATAAAAATACCGTATCTGATTCAGAGAACAAACCGGTGCATTCCATCGGGGTGTTTTACCGATTACCGATAACGAATAGTCGCAGTGCATTATGCACGGTATTAAAAAGTCAACTTTAAGATTAAGTCACAGTCATCCGGAGGAAGGTGCACCAGGTAGGGGATGGCTGTGCATTGAAACAATACAGTTATACAAATACTATGGAAGATATGACTGGTAGTGGTGACGAGGATGAGGGGTAGAGTGGGGTAGACTTATGAGACGGGAACTGCATCTACCTAGTGCACCGACAGAGAGGACTAATTGCACTCTACCTGTTTGTACTGGCAGAAAGTGGTTACCTTCTATAGCAAATTTACACTTATTCATAGGACGCTTTCAGTCGTTTCTTTTGTATATAATATCATCGTTCGGTGAACAGTTATCAAAGGGATCCAGTGATAAGGGAGATGAGACGAGGATCTGTAAGCACTTGGGAACCTTGGGCCAGAAGAAATTGTGAGTCACGCTTGATATTGGTAACAGGTTTATTATTCAAATAATTTTGAATATTATTTTATTTTGATAAAAACATTTTTTTTGTTATATTCGTTGTATAGAGGCAACTGCATATTTTGATGCAGTTTTTTTTTAATTAGTTTTTTGAAATCTTGACTGTAGCGCTAGTGCCATTCAAATCGAGTACTTCTAGATGAACACTAAGAATGCATTGCGTAAGTGATTCGCGTAAGGAAACCTTGAAATCGTCACAGTTAAATTTTACGAGCGGGACTGTTAATGCCAATGGAAATTCTTCAACGTCGAATGTAAAATTCTCTTGTTTTCCTTTTATCATTGCTAATTGAACTGCGGTGCGTTTACGTGGGATAATTTTTAGTGCGTTTAATATACAGTTTTTGGTCAGTTTAAACTCTTACGTGTAACCTGAAAAAAGTATATACATATGTAAGAGTTTCGATTATATGGGAAGAAAAGCAGCTTTATATTTTTTTTTACAGCTGCCAATATGGACCAATTTACAGGTAGCAGGTCAGAGTTCATGACCGCTGAGCCGAATCTCAACAATATTAAATATCAAAGAAAAGGTGGCTGTTTCTTATCACATAAAATAGCTTTGCTCATTATTGTCTTTGTTGTTGTTGGAATAATTGTCGCTGGATTCGCTGGTGCATATATCAGTTTATATTCAAAGAAGGAAGTAAGTGCATTTACGAAGTATGTCTGACATTATTTTTTACAATTTAATTTAACTTAGTGTACATTTTTGTTTGTTTAATCAGGTAAATGATCACCCTGTTCTCGCTGTAGAGGATGACGACATGGATGGTAATATTTCTGAAAAATTTACTTTATCCCCAAACGTCGTACCAATGAAGTACGAATTGAAGTTGGCACCAGTTTTCAATGGGGAGGTAATCACTAAGATCAAAGGTCTGGTAGTCATAAAATTGCAACAGAACTCGAGCGACCAGTTGGATCATTTGACATTCAATGCTAAAGATATGACGATTAAAAATTGTAAATTACTTCGATTAAATGCTACGAAAACTGAGATACGTAGTCATAGAAACAGACGGTATCCCACAGAAGAAGACGTTCCAGCAGGATCGGGTACTTCCGCTTTGGAGAATACCGAAAACACGACATCGGAATTAATGGAAAACTCGAAAAGCGGTACTGGTAACAAACATTTATGGATTTTTGGATTCTATTCGACTTGAAACATTTTTAAGTAGTTTTACCATATTTTTCTTTTCTTCTAACAATAGAAACACCTTATTTCCCGGACGGAGCTAATGCTGATCCTGAAAATGTTACTACTTCCGACTCATCCAATGATACGCTCTCAGATAATTCTTCGACCGATAGAAATATTACAAAATCGACAACAAGCGCTGCATCATTATCATCCATTGATAAGAGTGTCTCGGTATCATTGGATACGGAAACGACAAAAATCGTACAAACCGGAAGTACAGATCGCGCTACGGCATCGGATGAATTTACTAATACGGACCAGTCGGATATCGACGTTGTTGAAATTCGCCTTAAGGGAAATGAGACTGATAACGTTAATGGGATTTACGTGATGTATCTAGAGAGTCCAATATCAAATGGGATTTACTCGTTGGAGATAATTTATGAAACTGATAATAATAACAGTGCATTGTCACAAGGCAGCGTTCCAGTTCAGAATATGGCGAATAGGTAAAAAATAATTGGTAAATGATTATTTTGAAAAAATTATTATTACATTCTTTACTTCTTCTTTTTTTTTTTAGATCCAGTTTGGGCGATGGATCACTGATTACTCATTTCAAACCAACCAATGCCAGATACTTTTTTCCACTTTTTGACGACGTTCATCTGAAAGCCAAATTTACTCTGTCGATTACCAGTCCGAGCAATTTACTTGTACTTGCGAACACGCCTTTAAAATCTAGGGTGAACTCGTAAGTAACGCGATAGGAAAATATTGTGCATACTCTTTTAGATAACAAGCTGCGTTTCTCGTTTAACGATTTTCTTATCACGTGTACTTGACCAGCTTCCATCTGGTGCAGTTTGCATCTGCGATGCTTGTGCAGTTGTTCAATTGTTTATTATGATTATTATTTCGATGGTTATTCGTTGTTAATATTTTTTGTTTGTTTAATTAAGCTCGTCACTCTACACCATGAATACCTTTGAAGAAACACCATTGCTGTCACCGCACAGTCTGACATTTGCTGTTGGTGATATCGAATTAATGGATAACGCGACTTTAGGCGATACGGATATTAGAATTTGGGGTAAAAATAAGAATCTTTCGAAAAGTCATTTCGTCACCAATATGACGAGGGTAGTGATGGAATTGTACATGAATTTCTTTTCGATCGATTATCCCATGTCAAAAATCGATATCGTTAGTCTGCCGACAATTACAGATCAAACTGGAAATCTTGGATTAATTAGCGTTAAGTAAGTAAAATATTTTGTTGATATGGAAGATAATAATTTGTTTTCAACTGTTTTATATTCTTTCCTTACAGAGAGTCGTTTTTTAATATTACTGAAAACTCGTCGTCGATCGTCATTAATCGAGGATTTCAACGCTTAATTTATTCTATTGGTCAACAATGGCTGGGTGGATACGTCACGATGTACGACTGGACCAGTTCCTGGATTCTGGAAAGTTCTTTGATCTACCTACAACGACTTTTACTCGAAAAAGCAAGAAAACCCTTAAATTATATAAATAATGTAAAAATTTTGACTGAAAATCGAATAGTTCATTTTTTTAATCAAACTTCACTTTCAGACAGATACGGAACTGGAGTCATCATTATTCTTTCTGACGGAAGTACAAGAACCAGCAATGATGGCGGATGGCTACGCAACATCTCGATCGTTGCAATTTAAATTTAATCCGGTATATTGGAATTCGATAGAAATTCAAAATTTACATAGAAAAGGTACAATATTTTTGATTTTTTTTTTTATATACGGTAACGCTCAACTTCAATTAATTTTAAATTGATTGGTTATAGGTGCATGTCTGATACGTATGTTGCACAACGTCATAACTGATAATGCATTTAAGCGTGGCTACAAGAAATTCATTTCCAGATGGTCGGTATACAAAAAATTTTATTTATTAATAAAAAGCTTAATAGAGGAACGATGATCGGTCTGATAAAAATAGAATTAAAAATGAAAAAACGTACATGTTAAAATTTCAATCCGCATTTCTCAGCTTTGCTATTATCGATTTATATATATATATATCAATAATTCGATTTTAATTATTTACTTCAGGACCTACGCGAACGCAGAACCTACGGACTTTTGGCAGTCAATGTCCGAGGACGTTAAAAATCTACCGGAAGACACGTCACTCATGAAGATCATGGAAAGCTGGACTGGCAGCAGTGGATTTCCGGTGATTAACGTAACAAGAAATTACGATCTTGGATCAGTAAAGCTTCAGCAGGTAAATAAGAATATTCTTATTATCTTTATTTCTTTATTTATTCTTTATTTTTTCTTTATTCTTTTTATTCTTATTCTTTTATCTTTCAAAAATATCAATTTAAAAATTGATCCCTATTAAATTTATTATTCTAACAGTCAAGATTTCTTTACGACCAATCAAACGCCTCTAACGACCAACTTTGGTACATACCCCTGACTTACACAACAAAAACCGGAAATTGGTCATCGCCAAAAAGAATTTGGTTCAAACCGGAAGTAGAAATGATTTTGCATGACGTCACTCGTCCTGGTGAAAAATCCTGGTTGATATTCAATATCGATAAATTCGGTATGTAAAACCTTGACTCTATCGGTAATCAATAACGTTTATAGTTCAATCCCAATTGATCAAATTTTCAATGAAAAATCTCCAAATTATTCTGTTAATCAGAATTTAGTCTTTGTAAATTCACGCAACACCAAATTTTCAATTCTTGGATAATATACATATAGGTTCCATATTCAATCCCAATTGGCCCTATCGATAGTAACGGTGATTAGATCAACCCCTAGACATACCGTTGGGTTGGTAACAATGCTCAAATTAATATGGCCTTGATTACATCTAAGGGTACTATCGCGTGAATTACGACAAGGAAAATTGGGAGCTGCTATCAGTGGTTCTCAATACGAATCATCAAGAAATATCAAGTGCCACCAGAGCTTCTATCATTGATGACGTCTTCAGTCTAGCCCGAGCTGGATTAACCAGCTATGAAACAGCCTTTGATATTATCAGATATTTTCGTGTTAACGAAAGAAATTCAGTAGCATGGTTGACTTTATGGGGACACATTAAAGAATTGAATAGTGCCCTATACGACACCATGGAATATTCCAATTTTCAAGTAAACGAAATATATATATCATTTTGATATATGTCGTATGGCAATGATGAAATTTAAAAAAATTTATCCTGCTTTTCAGGGATTCATACATGATATGATAACACCACTTTGTAGTGAAGTTTCCTCGAATTCTACTAATGAAACCGAATTGACTCCAATGATAATCGAATGGGCTTCTATGGTTCAGCACGAGGGATGCTTGAATTGGTTGAAAAATAATTATCCACTAAATTTGTCTGACGACTCAATGAATAATGAAACTACGTATGTATAATCGGAAATGCGATATGTTGATAAGCACGAATATATAAATTTTACTATACAAATTAACTTGACTTTAGTGTATCTGGAAATTTACGCGAAGCCGTGCATTGTGTTATGGCGAAATACGGTGATCAGCGAGAATGGCGATATATTTTTGTAAAAGCAATAGAGAAACTTAATGCGGAGGAGAAATACGACTTATTAAAATCCTTGGCATGCTTTCAAGTGCCTTGGATATTGCGAACGTGAGTTTTCAGAAAATAAAACTTTTTTATAAGTGCGACTTATGACATCTTTCATTTTCATTTTTCATCCTTTCAAGAATACTCGGAGAAGTTCTTTTCAAAGAATATTTCACGGAGAACGAGATACTCACAGTCCTTCAAGCCTTTGCCCAGCAACCAGTAGCATCCCGAGTGTCGTACGAATACATGAGAAATAATTGGCAACAGATTTTTGAGAGGTATTTTCAAAAAAAATGAATGAAGAAAAATTTTGTTTAACATATAAAACTAACCACGTGTCCAATTGCAGATATTACAATTCATCTAATATCATCAGAACGCTCGTACTCGTGTCCACGGAGACCATTGCCAGTGATCAAGATCTGCTTGACGTAAGTAATTCTTAATTTACCTATTTTCAAATATTTTTCAAGCAACGTCTAACACACGTATATACCATTTCAGCTGCAGTCATTCAAAGAGAAGTACTATAACGATTTAAAAAGTATTGCTCATACAATAGTCACTATCGAGGCTAGAACAAAGTCTTGGAATTCCTGGCGAAATGTGTCATTGCCAATAATAAAAAAGTGGCTGACAAATTACAAACAGTAATTGCGGTTAAACCTAGTTAGGTCATCAAACTCATTATATACATATATCAAATGTAAAAGCTGATTTTTCTTTGTTCGGTTCACAAGAGGCAATTTCTACGACAACAAGTTTTATTTCTCCGAATGCTTTCGTCAAGCACGATTACAAAACCAAGCAACAATCTTGTTCTTAATTCAATTCACCTTACAACGACAGTTATTAATTATACATATTTAACAAACTTCACGATATACATAAAATGCTCTAACGTTAATAATAATCCGTAAGTCGTTATCTATCATCGTCGTTATTATTAGTGTCGTTATTCGTATATCATACTTCACTAAACTAAACATAATGGTGTACTTGGGGCACGTGAGCCATTGGTTAACGAGGGAGGTACCTCATCACTTTAAGCTACTTCGAGTGACTTTACGACATTCCGTTAACGCTTAAGTATTTTCAATATCGTAATAACATAAACCATCAGACAGGAAAGTCGCCTGGGACAGAAAATTTTCCAAAATTCGTTCGAAGTGCGCATCAACTTTAATCGGATAATCGTGATCAAAACTTCCAACAAAACAATAAGAACAAACTTTTAGTTCATCAGCCTGACACAACTTTGACTCTACCTACCAGAAAATGAAAAGACACATTTTTCAGATCTTAAGCTCCGTACAGATTTTACACGTGAAAATTTTATAACGACAAATTTGACAATTTCTTTTTAATGCGTCCAACGAACGATCCAAGGATCTTTTTAATTATCCTTCGAGCTCCAATCAACCCTTATCTCAATTAGCGCCTCTGTGCAGAATTTTTTTTTAGTTCCGGTTTACACCGTCACCCATCCAGGTGTATTTGTTTGTTGTAAAAAAATTTGCAACCGCGGGTCTTAATTGTTTTACCTATTTACAATGTATTTACAGGTTATGTTCTCTTAATCTTTTATAGGTGTGCTCTTCGTTACATAACTTGTATTATCTCATAATCAAAAGTCAAGGGACTCGCAGTTATAAAGTGCAGTTACCAGTGCGGGCGATAAAATCCTCTGTCAATAATTATTATTATTATTTTTTTCTTTCCTTGAAGTCTTCGCCATAAATTACTTTGTTCTTCTGATTGCTCGTTCCTAATCGCATATCGTCAGCAGTGCGTTTAACCTTATTACAATACAAAACTTTTTAACGTTACCCTAAATGCACGGTAACTCGCTAATTAATCTTTTAGTATGTTTTCAGGACTGCTACTTCTTAGGTATTCGCGTTAGGATAAGTCGTCGACGTTCGTCGCGAATTTTACTAATTAATTATCGTTCTTAACCTACTTATATATTATTTCTTCTTTTCTTTTCGCACAAACATTCACTCACGCATCTTTTCTCTCTCTACCTCTTCTTTTTACGCTCGCAACGCCATTGTAAGAATTGCCTTACGTAATGCGTATTCGTGTCGTGTGACGGACTTATCGTCACACGTCACGCGATACCGTGACGCTTCGGCTGCGATGATGAGGATGACGCGAGACAAACACTTTGTACAACGGAATAACATTTCTTTCATGGCAGTTGTGAATGGAACTCTTGTCTCTACGTGAATGCGTGTATATATATTGATTCTCCATTACAAAGATTCTTCATAAATATATATTTACAGGGTACTTATATAATTATAGTATATTGTGCACCGAGAGCGAAAACCGGCGTTTCCGCGCCGCGTATAAAGTTGAGGTTTCCGAGGCGATGCCGAGGGAGTCTCAACTTTATACAAGGCACAAACGCCCGTTTTCTCTCGCGGTTCACATACTATTTTCTTCAACAGCCGAGCGAACGCGAGTCTTCGCGTAGTGGGTGATTCGTGGGTCGGTGCAAATAAGCAGGTTAGTTTGGTAACTTAGGAAATCACAATGAAACAACTATGCATCGTACAGCTTACGTGAAAAAGACAATTGCCCCGGTGGTAGCGGGTCGTTGGATTCGTCGACAAATGTCACCTCACTCCTATTCAATTTTTTAATCTTCCACGTTTCCCCATTCGAGAATTGACCGTTTTCGCTCCGCTGTTCAAGAAAATATATTATGTATATTGTATTATTCTGTAAACTTTCAACAGCGCGAATAACTATTCACAAGACTAATAAACGAAAAATAAACAACTACCTTCAGACTTCTCTTCTAGGAAATTCATCGCGATGATTCTCGGGGAATGACGTTTTTTTATTTATTTTTTTTATTTTTTAAGAGAATAAAATTATTTTGCCAAATTACAATGATTCGCTGAATTATTAATATGTTTTTTTTTGTTGCTGTGCGTTGATCTTTTTTTTTCATGATTTTATGTGGCGCTTAATTTTTGTTCATGGTTAATGATCTTATTATGATTTCCCGATTTTCATACGCGCGAAACGCAGAACTTCGAGGGGCGCCGGTTAGAAGCGCAAATAATTATTAAATATTGATTGATGATAATATTGCTAAAGAAAAACAATAACGACTCACATTGACATCAACGACGAACTACGGCATTGAACAACGGCGGTCGGTTGTTCAATTCGCTACAACTATCAGCTTTAGAATTCGTATGCTTTACTTGTTCTTATCGTACTATCGATTATCGTTATTTCTAGAGTGTTTTTTTTCTATGTGTTCTTTTTTTTGTTGTATGTTCTTGTTGTATTTACAAAATACTTTAATCCTACGTGGATTAGTAATGGCGTCGAGTCAAGCACCGGTAATTTCGTACTCGTCGATAGTTTCGCACGATCGGTTTTATTATTAAAAGAAAAAAGAAAAAAGAAAACTAGAGAGGCGCGATCAGACAAAATTCAAAATCACCTGAACCGTCCCTAATTCTTTGATACTATTTAACGTTCCTTTAATATGCATATATATTGTATCGTACTTTTCTTAACTCGACATCGATAACGAAAAATTCGAGAACTAACCAACCGTTACCTTCGGCCGTCCATCCTTCGCTCTTGCATACTCAAGCCAGGCGGACACCAGCTAATTCTTTTTTTCACTGGGAACTGGTGAGCCGATATAACTTGGGAGTTGGGGTGGAACAGGCCCAAGTCCACCAAAATGAGAGCTCTGACGGAACCTATCAGAAGAGACGATAACTTAATAACGGACCCTGTTGATTTTTGGGGACGCGTTAAATCAAGAAACGCAACTGTAGGTGCTGATCTTTGGGGTCGCGTAAAATCAGCAATAGCAACTGGATGCATGAGCAGGACGGTTACGGAAATGCATGGCCGCTCAGGCTGTTAGGTTGAAGCTAGAGAGGGTCGGAGTAAGAGTCAGGCAGATAGTGCGGAATACAGAGAGCAACGGATCGAGAACGCAACAGAACGAATCTGCACTATCAAATCGAAATCCCTTCACCAATTAATAAATTGGGAGAACTCACCGGAGGTGGTGCAGGTGATCGACGAAGGCCGAGAGTTGCATCCAGAGGATACTCATCGGGGAACTGCACTAGGGCACGACACTACACCTCCGGAACACGCGAGCAACGCGAGAGCTACACGAGCGAGAACTTTCTATACCGTATCGAAACGCGGCTAGAAAAACTATAAACAGACAGCACGGGAGCGCGAGGCAGCCCGTGACACCTCGGTCGGTGCCCTGAGGCAGACTGCCTTGACAAAATAGCCAAATTCGAGAACTAATCATTCTGATTGGTCGAGATCCTTATAGTCGATAACTCTTCCATCTCCCTCGAATCGTCCCTTTAAACCAAATCGAGAGCGTTCCTTAGCGAATCGGTACGTAACTTTGAAGATCCTCCACGGCCGCTTCCCCAGGGCATCGGGCGACAGCTGGGCACCACGTCCTTAACTCGGGTCAGAGGGTTCCTCCCCTGCCCTTAACCGTATCAAAACTATAAATCCGTCCGCTCTACAGCCATTTGCCCATCTCCAGCGGGGGCCGGTGTCTCACCCGGGTTTCTGCCGGTCCGTGGAGACGTCTCCGTCGGATCATCTCCTCTGCCGGGCAACTCGGTACGTCGAGACTATCTCCCCACGGCAGATTCGAGCATCTCGACCTCAACTACACAATATCAAATCTTTCTAGAGCATTGGCGTAACTATACGAATCAACCCGAGAGCGTAGCGTCTGAGCAGAGTGGCGACCCGAAGGGAACCAGAAAGCGAGAACATTATCTGAATCGGTAGCCGGAATCGCCTTGTGACCGTGAATCGAAAAATCACGTCACGACATATATATGTATATTTATATTTATATAATGGCGTAAGACTCAGGCTACATCAGTGAGAATGAAGTATTAGATTTTCTTGAAATATACAAAGAATATTAATTCCAACACTTTATAAGAAAAATTAATTCTCTACTCTGACTTGGACATTCCCATCGTGGATACTTCATATAAATATTTTAGGACTATGTGCAAACGAACTCATTATAATCTTAATGGTAGGTAGGAGATCTTACAACCATTCTTATGTCAATTCTTCTATGGTTTACACGACACCTAAAATGTGTCACAATAATGGAACAATTAGTGGGCATATGTATAAAACATACGTATCATATATTTATATATAATATATTTATCTATTCGTTTGGTTTCGGACCAACAACCGGAAGTGTTTTTTACGCGCGTGCGTCCATGTTACAAATATCGGATCAATTCCCACCGGAAATTGCTGATTTTATAAGAGTACAATATATCATTGATAATTTTTATAATTCGGCGAAAAAAAGACTTCCGTTTGGCTCAAACAAGAATTCCGGTGCTCGATGCGATTTCTCGAATACACAGCTGTGGCTGTCAGCATTTCTGTATATTCTCCTTTTTTCCCTCTTCTTCTCGTTAACAGGGCTCATCTTTTAAGTATGATACAAGTATCATTAGTTAGTTAATTGCTGCTTCGTTAGGGATTACGTAGTGGCAGCTTTGTTACGAATATTTGAGCACAGACTATAATAGGTATACATTTTTTTTTTCATTAAATTGTACGTGTAACATTACTACGCGCTCGTATAGAAATATTAATGAGTACAAACCATTTTATTTCCAGTTAACTATCTAGAGATAATTATAATGGCAAATAGTGGTATTGTTGTTGTTCCTATTTCTTTTTTTTTTCCCCCTGTACTTTTCGTTCCTGTTCATTCGGTTCATTTTCTTTGATAATGATAACAGTAGTAAGGTCTCGATGGACGTTTATGTTTTATATATGAAATACGATGTATTACGATATTAAAATCTAATTCCAATGCGGATTGAGTATCAATTTACTTAATCAAATTGGAATTAGCAAAGTTCGAGGTTCACCGTGGACGTGACTACGTAAACTTTGTATTGGATAACATTTTTATTGGCAGCCATCGTTAGTGCTGCCTTTCGAGATAAACCATCATCTTTCAATTTCGTACGATATCCTTTGCTTCGAAAGACGTGAAAAGTGTTCATGATAAATTCTGCGGAGCCCTTTTGCCGTAATTTCTTTAAATTTCGCGTAATCGCACGCGACGCTCAGACTGGGAGATCGGGGTGGATTCTTTAGTCTTTTTCTACGGTGCAGGGCTCGGGCGTGGACTACTGGGGCGGACACCTCACTACAGTGGTAGTCGCGAATTCACTGAATTTCTTATCAATTGGGACTCTGTCGTCATAGAGCGTCGGGGCTTGAAGAATAATTCCAGCAGTTCCTACTAATACAGCAAGGGTGAATATCCAGAGAAATAGTCGGTCGAGCACCATGGCTACGTATTTCCAGTCCTCCTTGACCTAAGACAGAGAAAATTTTCAGCAAAATTAATATCAGTTTCGAACGATCAATGGAAAACAATTTTTCAAAGAAATGCTGCTAACCTTCGTAGAGTCCTCAAGCATCTTTGTATGCTCAGCGATGAACCGTACGCAAATGCAAGATCTATGGACTTCCGGTGGACATCCGGAATGTGAGAATGCCGGTGGATTTCTTAAAACAGGACTCTTCACTTCCTCTACAACAGCTTCACCGGATACAGAAAGATCCTCGCAATCCGTACGAAGCGGAAGTGGGGGTAACGGTGGACCATGAATCAGACAGCTTCCGCCAAATCTGGCCCCATCCGTCAGGCTAACAAAATTGACACATTACTCAAATCGATGATAATCAATCTTTGATACAGCGGTATCAAACACGAGTTAAAAAGAATGTCAGCAGCATACCTAGACGGAGATAGATCTTCTTTGGATGGTACTCGACTGTGAAATCGCTTTGGTGTTAGATGATCATCACTGTCCTCTTGGGCAGTTTGATGATAAGGATAGTAGCAGGTTTTCTCTTTACCTCTTACTGTTCTCATCAAGACCCTCCCTGATGAGTACCTGCGATAACATATTTCAATTAGGAATTCAGTGAAGTATATTAAAAAAAAAAAAAAATGATCAAACGATAAGAATGCTCGATAAAGAGATCATCACCACAGTAGGATTTAATGGTTAGTCAATAAACTGATTTATCAGGTTCTCAAAGCTATAGCTAACAGTCGAACCTTCTAAATCTTCATGTCTGACAGGACTCTCTTTTTCTTTCCACTAGATTTGGAGACTTTCCAACAGATAGGTTAACCCTCGAAAAACCCAAGTCCCAGTTTAGACACATGTGAGAGAATCTTCCACAAATCATCCCACAGGTTGTTCCCTCTGTCTTACCTATTTGTCTCAAATTTGTATTGAGGTCTTCTCATGACTAGCAGTCTCGGAAGAATATGTATAAACACCCTCTTGACCCAGGGTGCCATTTTGTGCGTTTGTGGAGAACGGAAGTGAACATTGAGTACCACGACAGTGACGCATATACTGAAACAAAAAAAAAGAACCCAAGAGCTTATATTAATGAAGGAAACCATTGAAACGAACAGGATAAAAATCCTTAGAAGAATAAATCGCAGGACGTAAGACCTCGGTACATAAAGTCCTTCGAGCAACTTCCCATTCTCATTCAGTAACGTGGAAAATAAAGGCCATCCGGATTCTTCTGTTATCGATTCCCAAGTAGGACCCGGTCCGAGGGTCACGAAACGGAACAATCGAAGGTAGAAAACTTTGATCGTCTCTGGAGAAGCCTGGCAGTTCACAAGGGGCGACAGGTGGAAGATGAAAAAATCAAGAAGCTCGCGGGGGGATCATTGAGATAATTTCCTCCAGAGTGCCTTGATAGGTAGAGGAAAACGAATATCTAAATGGCTGGGAAACTGAAGCGAAAGCTGTTGATCGAATTCATTCCAGCAATTTGCCGTAATACGTATGCGGGCTGATCGCCGGACGGTACGTGGCGTGTTTCTGTATAATTTCCACCCTATATGAATTATATATGCATGGTATCTATGTGGCAGAAGAAAATGGAGGGTGCTCGAGGAACAGAATGTAAATTTTGCGGAACCATTTATAATGGAGATCCCACCCTTCGAGGGCCACATCCCTTTCTCTCTCACTCTTACCCTTCTTAAACCCACCCTTGGCAATGACGGACAGGACACCATGTAAATTGCAGCTACTTCCTTTGCTCGCAGACTAATACAATTTAACAACCCCCCACAGAAATTCCTCCCTTACATTCATTCGTAATCTTTAAGGGTGAACGGTCCTTCGGTATAAGAGCTTCCTCGAATTTGTGTTTGAATTGTCCCGACGTAATAAGGAAGATATTTGGAGTTCAATCTTGGACCCAGTCAGTCGGTGTGTATCTTTGCTTAAGGGTAGCAGCGCTTGGCTACCCTGTTCCAAGATGAAGAAAACAATGATGGTATAAAATCAAGCACACATTGTCTCAGGAAAATAATTAAGTTTACTCGCAAGGTTTGATTTGAAAAAATTTTCATTAAATTCCCTAGCTCCATCAAGGGTTCAGGGTAAGTCCCATTCTCTCTTCCGTATAAATCGTGACACAAGGGAGCAAGAAAAGAACTGGAAACGGCAGTGTCCGAGAAACGTTAAGAATCAGTAGTGGATACTTCGAGTGGTCCTTTGACAAATGGATTCAAGGGAAAGGAGGTCCAAAGAAAAGATGGATAAAAAATGGAACAAGCCCGAAGAACCAATCGGGGGTTGTAAGATGATAAAAAAAGGAGATAAAGGTACATAGATCAGAAGGACCTATCACGTACTGTCAATATCTGTCCACTGTAACGGTGCATTCATCGTTAACCTAATTTCCTCGGCATATTTCAAAGGGAACTGTCCCTGCCTCTCGGAACGTCCAACGGGAAAGAGTCACTAGGGTTCTCGAGGGTTGAGAACCGCGCGGCCAGAGAGCTTAGAGGGTCGCTCGAAGGTGGAGAAGACACTTGGTCGATGTGGCCTCTGATTAATGTCCTACAGTTTCTACATCCTTCTACATCCTTCTACCGAGGGTACCACCCGTACCCCCAAAAACCACCATACACTCTACGCCCAGCCAGAGCTTTTCATCCCTAGTAACTTTTTTCATTCGCCCTCCGACAGCCACTTGTATCTATATCTACAGTGACAGTAGCCCAAAAGGTATAAAAGCGAATGATCCCCTTATAGATCCGCCACAACTGTTTCAAGCTTTCCGCAGGGAATTTACGCCTTGATGTTAAAATACTCGCGTGACCTAACCCCGACCTGACCCGGCGTAACCTGACATCCTCGTAAAGGGGAAGAATTTTTCTCGAAATTTTTAAACCTTCTTCTCCCTATTTTCACAATCCTCTGGTACACTTCATTCCCTGCTCCCGCGAGGAACTTGCAAGCCCTTCCCTTCCTTTTATTCCATCCATCCCTTCCAGCCGAGCTGCTACGTCGGCTTTCGTGAAACGTTGCGCCTCGCGCTTCTTTCTCACGCTACGGAAAATCTCTTTCTCGGAAGAAATTCTTGAGTTTTCTTAGTGCGATGGCATTTCTTCGTCTGTACCAGATCCGCTGCGGATGAAGATTGTGGATGAGACTTAAGATGAATATAAGATAAGTATATATGTATATCAAGAGGTCTGTATGAAAGGAGGAGACTCTTCTTACTGAATTTCTGGTTTTTGAATCATCCCTTATCCTCTCTGACGCAGTGGACGACCTATGCATAAGAACGAAGCGGTTGGTGGTTAAAGGCTTTTTAAGTTGTCTTTTCTTGGTGGTATCAACGCGGAAGGATCAAATATTCTTTCCAGTGGGGTTCGACTGGAATTATGCCTAGAAGAACAATGAGAAATATAGAAAAATATATAAAATTTATAAAATGAAATAAAAAATTTTGCGAAAATTTTAGCTAAATCAAAAAAAAACTCAAACCTTTTAAAATTAAAAAAAATTATGCTTCTATCGCAATCCAGTGGATTTCTGAATATTCTTATTGCTTTCAGCAACCTTGGACAATATGTGTCTGGAACAATTTACCCCGGACGACCCTCGTTCTCAGAAATGCCATTGTTGTATCGTGTTGTCTGGCTGTTGTACATGTTGGTCGCTCTACTCTTATTTCAGTGAAACCTGAATATTCCGTAATGCAAACGTCGCTCGAGGCATATCTAGGAATATTTGTCTAACATCTTGGAACTGAATACTCTTCAAATAAGAATAGCAAGCACATATATATATATATATATTGTATATATTATACAACCGATCTTACGTAAGACACCTAGAGAAATTCCAGAGGCGCATGGTTGAGAATTAAGATAAATCTTTGACAGCATCCTTGCAGATGTTTTTACGTGAGATATTAACAGGGATGCGATAACGGGTGGTCCATCATTTTGCATGCACCCCATGTGTATATCCATATACATATGTAATTCATCTTTGTTTTTCTTTTTCTTGAGCCTTACCAAAAACTACCCTCCATACTTCTCCAAAGCCTTGGCCTTCTTATGAATACAGTTTCCCGTGCCGCCTCTACCACACCCTCTGAAACCCCATGAATCCCAGTCATGTCCGATAAACATGGCTCGTCAGACAAAGCATGTTTGTAAAACGCGAGATCTACGTCGACGCTGCCGTCGACGTCCGTGAAATGCTAAACATTTTTATCGAGCGAGGAATTCATAACGGTATAATGTATAAGGGTGTTTTTATGTGAGACATTTTTATGATTATTTTTTACGATCTGTTCTGTTTTTTTGGTATACGTTATATTTTTGGTAATTACGTAATGTCCGAATACTTGGATCGAAAAAAGGTTTATGAGGTTCAATAAGTACCGCGAGGATATTGGCGGGTATATGAGTGCGAAAGAAAAGGAGAAAAAAAGTGGTGTTCTATTTTACAAAATTGTAAAACTTGGTAATACTCCGCTTGGCCATTTAATACGTCGATCGGCCCTATGTCGAAGTAACGGGACTTGAACTTTCTGCAACTTTTCAACTTGTTTAAAGTTCAGGTGCAATTCTATTCGTAGCATAGAAAAGTTGCAAGAAACGTTGTGGTTAAAATAAGGAATTTTGGTTTTTTGTTTTTTTTTAACGGGTGACTGAATTTTGATATTTTTCAAAAATGGCTTACAGTATATAAATGATAGTTATATAATAAGTGTATCTGGCAGAGGGATGGTCGAGAAAAATATATATTTTTTCCTTTTCTTTAACTAAGTAAAATTGCCAATTATAATTGCAAAGTTGGAAAAACGTGCAGGTAACACTGAGTAAACGATACTTGTATTTTTGGAAAAATAAATGAAAGAGGTCAAAGGTTCAGATAACAGTCAGTCACGTAATTCGAGATGTCATTGTTACCGAAAAAAGAAATAGCGGAACGAGTGGTATACACCGAACGTATTTAAAAGCCAAATTTTCGTTTAACTTGCAAATCGACCCCGTTTGAGAAAATTTGTTCAATTACTTATTTCTACGTTTCAATTCAATTACATTCCTGTAATTACGTTTAGATTAAGAGTTGATCGTCCCTATTGGATAGGCAATAATGTCTGTAAAATAATTTAAAAGAAAAAGGACAACAATATTTTAGGGTACACAAATGACTGTTTTTTTTAAAGCAGCCCTTTTCCCTTAATTCCGTACCTCTCTTTCATAAATTTCCAAACTAACATCTTTCTCATGAAAATTCAATGGTAAACTCGAAAATCCATCCCAGCTGCCAGACATGATCTGACATCTATATCCTTCCATTCGTCCATTCCTACCTTGAGCCATTATCATTTCACTTAGTCAAACCTTATTGGAACCTTACAAACCTTACCTCTAACGAGTAAAGAATATTTTTATTTTTCACAAAAAAGAAAAAAACAACCACATCTACTTAGCGTTATACAAATATGAAAAAATATTTTAGAAAAAAAAAATACCGCACGCTCTCTCTCAAAAAAATTAAAGTCAAAGTACTTCATCTAGAAAATACAAGAATTGTTCGTGCGAAATATCATTAATCTAAAAAACATAAAAGGACCAATTTTTTGTATACTTTTTATGCAATTCAAATTTTATGCAATCGTCTACAGCTATAGAATCGTATCGACAGGATAATTTTGAAAGGGTCAAAAAAATGATTTTAGATATCGATAAACTCGTTTGCACTTATATATCAGTATATATGTATATTAATAATGGTCGCACGCTACACAAAATCTCTAAGCATCGACTCAAGCATCGAAAAAAGGTTTATTGTGCGAAATCTCTTTTGAGCCCGACAAAGGAATCTTTATAAACCGAAGAAACGGAATAACGAATACCAACCACCTAGCACCTTCACATTGGTTCCTCAGTAGTCAAGAGGGTGACTTGGTCTTGTCCTTGTCTTCACCGTTATCCAGTACCTTGGCAACCAGTACGTAAATATAATAGCATCGGTTGAATAAAATTTTTCCTCTGGATGCTATTATGTAAACTCGCCTTTAGGATTCAGTGATCAGGCAATCAGATGCAAAAAAAAAACAGAATTTCAATTAAAATCGAAGAGATAAATTAGTGGAGGATTTTCCTGCAGAAATGTACCAGAGATCTGGAAATCAAAATACGAGGCTCTGCTCGATACTTTCAGATACTCGAATTGAATATCGCATCCTGTAGCTTCTCACTGAATGGAATTCGCCGCAGCGCGACTGAGGGTAAACCTGAATAGTGGGTGGGCATTTGTCTGTAAAATAATTGAAATTCTGACTACGCGACATTGAGCATTCTGTAATGATGGCTTGGGACACGTTGCATTTTTGCATGATGAAAAGGCGCCTTAACGAGGACGTTAAAAAGGGGAGAAATGAAAAGGTTGATTTTACGAAATGGCTCGTTGAACTTTTTAAAAGGATAAAGGTCTGTAATGGAATTTTTCGGATGCTGTAAAGTTTGGAAACCAAACAGAAATAATTTTTTACTTTTAGAATGGAACAGGTGGTTAGATCACTTCATCCCTGTGAAGTGTACATCGAGTGAAGGGACACGTGATAAAAGGATGCAAAAGAAAATCGCAAAAATTACAAAAAATTATATTCACGAACAGCGCGATCGATTTTCCCTGGTTTCCCGCAAGGAAGACGTTCGTTAAAATGCTGTGGCGTAACGATTATAAAGCCATTAATGGAGAGCGAGGGTGTCGGGAAAAAAATGAAAAGAGAAATGGTTGAGGAAAAGGAAAAATAAGGGCGGCTACTATGATGGAATTAAAAAAAATAGAAGTAAGGAGGAAATTAGGAAAAATGAGATTGGTGAATTTAAGAGTGGAAAACATGAAATTATCTGTAATGCCATTATAGGTATCCTCGACAGTATCTATTACAAAAGAAATTTTTCTGTATAAAATCCCACTTTGAAGATTCACTGTTGTGTATTGTTACGTGCAAAGATTGTTTGCTCGTAGAGCTTGGTAGAAAGTGACGGGTAGAATTAAATTTGTCTAGTTTGATAAATTGCTGTTTGGATTCGTATCCTATACTTATACTGTACAATATACTGTTGAGGTTAGGTATGCGTAACGCATAACGCAGCGTTGTTATTTAAAAAATAAAGAATACCAAATTTCTAGTTAGTTGCTAAATATTTATAGTTGACTCTGGACTTAGGAAGTTACACCTGGTTGGTTGGAGTTGCTCGAATTCATTAAAACTCGGCTTCCGGCTGCCTCTTCAATTTCTCAACGAGCGAAATTTTCTCTGGTTCAGTCGACGTGTCCGACTTGGTGCGAAACGTATTTTTAACGAGGCGAAGTAAAGCGTTAATTTCGTGGACACCGTGTAGAACGGAAAAAAAGTTACAGATAACGGAGTAATTTGAATTTTTCTAAAGTAACAATTTTTTAAGTTTCATTAAACACAGTTACGTGTTCCAAGTAACCGTTTGAGTGCACATACAGAAATCTATAGGATCGAGTAGACCGTATTTGGAATTGGAGCCATGCTTAAATTGGATTTTAGTCTCTAAGGAAAACGGGTTAACGGAGCTCGCAGTTGGGAAACGGAAGTTAGCGTCTCCTCGAACTTCCTCAAAGTCTCGTGGAATTTCGAATCTAGATGGTCTCCTCTTGGAAACCACGATATTTAATATGACGTCGATGTTAAAGTAAACTGATACCCCTTCAGTGCCCTGGCATGTCAGATAATTTAACAATATTAATGAGAATACCAAGAAGACATGACTGAGAGAAATTATAATAACGTACGTATGTGAAAATTCCTTTGTGAGAGTCAAAGAGCAATTTTACCTGAAGGAAAGCGTAAAGCATATTCCTTGGACATAACCTCAGGAAAAATATTATCGCAATTTCAGATGTTCGTACTACCTTTCTATGACAACAAAAACAGTGCTGAACGCATCGTACAAGGAGAAAACCGTCTATCACATCGTTGCACTTTATTCATCTGCAGTCTCCATGAAAGTATATTTACTACCAGGGACCATGGTCATTCAAAATTATGAGATGTAATCCAAGCTGACCGCACGAGATTAAATTATTCTATAGTATATTCTGTCTTGTTTTTTCATTCACCACAATCACCTTTCATCCTCTTCTGTTTCATCCTTACAGTACGTCAACTCGGTGGCGTGTGTTAAGATGGCCACGAAACGCTACCATACGCGCCGCTCCGGTTATCTTTCGAAGTTCTTTTCCTCCATTCTCTTTAGTACCTTTTTTCTCATTTCTTGAATGCCCTCCGTCTTCCTCTCCGGGCACTAGGTACAGTACGTTTCAGTCTAGCGAAGTGCACGTAGATATGGGTCAACCCGTACGTCGAGGACATTCCGGAACATTAATTTCAGAAGTGTTTCTATTCACGCCCCGTACGGGTTCGTTGGCCCGAGCGTAGGGACAGTCTCTTTGAAACCGCCAGGAAGTGAAGTTTTGCAAAAGCAAAAGACCTCTTTGAAATTGGCACGTATCGCGCGTTTAATATTAATGAGAGCATTTCGAGAGTGGTGTCGCGTAGCGGCCGTTTAACGAACTAAATAATAGCGGACGATTCCCGCCGCCTTGAGATACTCAAGATGGCGGCGAAACGTCTGAAAAAACATGTGACAGGCATCAATGAACGCGCGCGGCATCAAGGCAGAAAATTCTAAGGAACTTTAGCTGCACTCACCATGACAGGCTGATAAACCTTCTCTTAAGGTAAGAAACTATACAGTACAACGATAAAGCATAGCATTAGCTTTATGGAGTGGAAGAAAAGGGAAAGCCTCTACTTTCCCACAAGTGCTGGCCCTTTTCCAATCCTCTGCCGATACCATCCAACAAGAAACGAAGATTGTAAAAGCCAACAGAGTCAATCATACTTTTCCCATTCGCCGCATTAAACTGTTCCGTCCCAAACTATACCCTTTGATGTTGCTCGAACCTTTCTATTTCTCTCGCCTCTGTTACACCTACCCTGATATTCTCCAATCTGTCGTTCGAATCCATTAGAATTTACGCCTTGGGTTTTAACTTGTCAGGAAATTTATAATCGGCCCACTCGCCCATCTTGTCTACTGACGGTAGGTACCAACTTAAACACCAGAAGTCTGACTTATCGGACCGCGACAAGTTTGAAGATTAGTTTTCTGTTTGTTTTGCCTCGGGCCTGTGTTCCGTAACTGGAGGCAAACATTATAACCAGCTATGCACGCCTTTGCATTTCTAGCCTGTGCATTTGAAGCGCTTGTCGGTAACCCTTCCAATTTCCCATCGATTTCCTCTCAATAATACCTCAACACACAGAAGTGCAATCGACGTCCAAATGAACATTGAAATATATATATATATATCTGAAGTGCCATTGAGTTCCTCAATGGTCATGAAAAATATGTCAATTTCTCATAACGTCCTTCATAATATATCATATTTAAATATCCATGTTCTACACGGACCTTTGATACAGGTACGAATACGTATAAGGAGAATGTACGTGTTATATATTTCAATCCTTTCAGGAAATTACACTTGGGAAATTAACCAGTGAATTTATCAAAGAGAGTTGTAAAAATTGATAAAGGAAGCAAACAAACCTTTGAAATCGTTCGTTGTGTTTTTTCTAGTGATTCTCTTTTCTACTTCCTTCCTATTGATACTGTATATACGTATATAGCCATCAGTGGACATACGCACGTGTCTAGAGTTATCGCATAGGACTATATCATGTGCAAGATACAATAAGGTGTCAGTATATGGTCCATTTGCATGATAACCTAGATCCGAAAACAATAAGCTTTTGTTCCCAGTTTGTGAGCTTCGCGACGACGTGCTTTAGTATTAAGAGCTCTCGACGGGACTCAGTCGACTTGTGCAGTTCGATGAAAGTGGCGGAAATGAAATTAGCGTAGAGAAGAGGGATGAAATATTTTGTGGAAATTTTTTTTGTGCGTCACGACGTAATACACTTACGCATCTCCCCCTCGATAAGCCAGACTCATCGAATTTCCATGTGTACATACATACTTTTCACGTAGTTCCATGCTTGCACATGGCAGCACGTGCCGTTACGAAAAATATGGATTTAGGCTAAGAAAAAAAAAGTCTCATCGGAACAATGACAGTCTAAAATTTTCCAATACTTGGATAAATAGTTTGGAATTTTTTGTGAAAGAAAATTTTTTTAAAGTTATTTCAGTCTTAGCAATCCTTATGAAAGCTTTTCCAACGTATTCAATGGAATTTCTTCAACGGCTCCTGAACAATTCAGGGACTTATCGAAATTCTTATTTTTACTGTAAAGGCTTATCGTTACGCCTTATACATATTACAAACGTGTCTATATGTATATATTCTGTTATGTAACAAGGTACCTGTAACCTGCTTACACTCCAGGTTGGATTAGCATTTATTGCATTTATTGTGGATGAAAGCTGCGAAGAGACATTCGCACAAATTGCGGTCGACACCCTTACGAACGAACTACAAAGCAGTACTGAATAAGGTGAGAGAGGGTTGAAATTTCTAACCTCACAATAGCGCTTTATCCAAAGGCAAGTGCAGTCCAACCACAACGTAATTTAGATTTCAGACTGTACTATTCATCCTGCCACCTATACGAAAACAGCCTCTCACACAAAAGTAATTATTATCAACACCAAAGTGCTGTCTACTATCTACACCTTACAACAATACAAAATACAATCCATAACCCAGAAGGTAAAAATACTAGTTACGAATAGACATGCGAAATTAGTTATGAGGTAAGAACGAATGGCTCTTAATTATTAAATAAATAGTAAATTTTGATAAAAATTGTCTTACCTTATGGAAACCAGTATCATGGCGAATATAAGATATTTCCCAAGAAGTGGCACCACCAGCGAAGTGGGTGGAATAATTTCCACGACCAGAAGGAAGAACACGTGTAGACTAATTAAGATGGATATAGAGAGAGTCACCTGGAACGATACAGATATACACAGGTACAAAATTAAAATAATCGTTTAATATATACTATATTGCACATGAAATTACAATAATTCAAGGATAAACCCTTAAGAGGAACCCCGGTATCCTTTGGAGACAAAGATAATCCTATGCTGAGGATTTGTAAGAAATCTTAGGGATTACACCAAGGAGCGTTGCTGTAGATCTTTGATATTTTTATTCCCGGCAGATTTATCCAGACCCCATGAAGATTTAAGACGCCTCGGAGTAATAAGCAGGACAATTCCAATTTATTGCTGGGATGAAGATTCTAAGAAACGGAAAGGTGGGACGAGCGGGCAGGGGAGGAATTTTTAAAGATGCTGCTGCACAAGGAGGCGTACCGAGGGTGAAAAAAATTTAAGGGGCCGAAGGAATAAGCCGTATAGTACCCGTGACACTTAGCCCTTATTTTCATTAAACAAGATGGATGTATCTCGCGAGTAAATAAGAATCCATTTTCAACTATAATAACAATGGTAGATGCGGTACGTTAAAATTGTTCAAGAAAATTAATCAATCATCCAGATGAATTCCAATTGTTTATACATTCGAGATAAATCAATCAATTAAGTTCTGTATATAACTATCTGTGGCAGAAGGTATCGTTAACGAGCTCGACATGGATACATGGCTAACAGTCGTTAGGTTACATATCCCATGGGAAAGTTTAACGGGGTCCATTAACCTGCACAGTTCATTGCAGTATACCCGGTAGAGTTGTGATTACAACGGGGACCTGGAATCCTCTAGTGGCACTTAGGGACATAAATTTCATACCGGTGTCAAAATAGCTTAGTATTCGAATCCTACTAGGAATCTAGGAATCGAGTTTCTCTAATCCTAAATCTATTTGGCTCTTCGAATTACGTCCAGAGGTTTATATGGTACATATATACCCCCTCGAGTGCCCTGCTTACTGCCCTCGAATGTACTGCACCTTGACCACGTGATGGATATTATATTACTCTTACCTATAGTACGTTATTAAACTGTACGACGTAGAAAAACAAGATTCCCCGGTACATAGGTGTATGGCTGTTAGGAAATTTCACGAATATAATTTTCACCCTGACACCGTTCGCAGTCTCTCGAATCTCTTGAAAAGTTGCATAAGTAAACTCGTTCCGGAAGTTATATTTATCCGGGTAAAGTTTGTTACTTTTTCGCTAGGGATGGCCGAGAGCGTGTATCGCGAAGAAAACAAGAACCCTTGACTGTTGGGAACGTACAATGCGCAGTGGGACCTTTCATTTTTTGCTTGTGGAGATCCGGACTCGCATCGATCATGGGGAAGTTGGTAACAGAAGAGAAGATCTGTAAAAATATCTTACAGGAACAGAACGGAAATCCGCTTTGCTGTATTTTTCCGCACGAGTTTCCTCACTCCTGGCGCTGAAATAAAAGTGAGCGATGGAAGCTCCAGAAAAATCGATGGAAACAACGTGAAAGTAGGATAATTTTTCAAATAAAATATCTCCGTTAAACTCGTAAAAGAAAGTAGTCAGTATTCATCCATGTTTATATATATGTATATATGTATATATATATATCTGTACCTGAATACAATAGATCCATATACATAAGCGCATATTAGAGCAAAGGATATTATTTCCATGACAAAAGCTGCAGGTGGCACATTTCGATGCTTATTAATCTCACATATTGGCTGGCCACCCTCAAAATGGTTACCCACAGACATAGCACAATGGCGTCGTTTTGGTGAATACAGAGGGATCTTCCCTCGATACTGGAGTGAGGTTAGGTCAATATTAGCTCTTCTTTCCATACGTTTCCGTTATCCTTACAAGAGCCATAAGTGCCTCACTTTCTCGATAAGCGTTACTTTTTCTCTCAGAAATCCCCTGACGACTCGCCAAACCCTACAGGAATGGAACCGAACGGCAAGAACTACCACTTCGATTGATCTTCTTCACGAGTGAATTCGACCAACCTCAAGTAGGTTCATTCGCCTGAACGGTTAACGGTTAGAGTGAACCTTAAGGATTAACATGAAGGATCAGTGATCGAATAGTAATTAGCCGTAAGAATTTTCCACGAGATCGTTCTGATCAGTGGACGTGACTGGTTCGGGGAGCAGTGCTGCCACCTGGTACGTCAACGTGAAAATGTTAGGACATTAAACTCAAAGCTTCCCTAATGTCAGCCTATAAGACGGCTGAGTGCACTTGGCTTCAAACTGCCAGCATCGCGAAGTCCATGCTACGCGACAACAAAGACTGATAACAGGATAACCCAAGAATGAAGACAGCAATGGCGACCTCCAGGAGGACTTTTAGAAATTCCTACGTTAAATCAACTCCCGTAATGCCCCCCCGAAGTCTTCTGGTCGTCGACTTTTCTGAAAACGGGAAATTGCTTGAGGAACTTTTTCAAGTGTGTACGCCTGATGATTTATACATTTTTTTTTCTTTTTCTTCAAAAGATAAAGGAAAGTCAAGGATGGAACACCAACGGTGATCCCGATGGAGACGACGATCACATTTTAAACGCAATGGCCGAGGAAAATGGCCAAGGGACAGGCTCGAATGCTGGTTCAATGCGGTTGGCTGCTGGTACCCGCGATATTGCTTATCGATTCAGCCATCTTGATTGACGTGCCTGCCGCGCGGTCCAGCTTAAAGGGGAGGTCCGGAGCTCATCTTCAAGCGCGAGAATCCCGCCACTTTTATTTTTCTTGCGTATAAGTAGTTTTTCTACTGATCGCGCAAACTTACTCAGAGAGGGCTCATATGGTTGCTATGGTTACCAATTATTTTTTAAAAGTTTTAAGCAACAGGATAATACATTATTAGAATGATATTCGATCAAATATATATATCAAATATATATATATATATATTTACATATATATATACATACATATATATACACGCATATTTTCATCTCTTATTTACCGTCATGCAGCTTCATTTAGCTGTATTAATTAATATATCCCGGAAATGAGCAGGAGGTCTAATAAGAGAATAATTGAAGAAGATAAGTCTCTGGTTCTTTTGGAAATGGACCTTCGGAATAAAAATGCTTTTAAACCAAGACTCCCTGACGATTGCGAAATCTTAAAAGGCTCCTTAATTAAAAGTACGAAGAGAACGTCTCACGGAGTAATTATACAGTCTTAGCAAGTATAAGCCCTCTCCCCCCCCCCCTCTATTCCACCCCTCCTCTCGTTGGTGTTTAATGAGAAATGGACCAAGCATTAAAGTCACAATCTCAGACCCCAGTCCCAACTATTATTCCCGTGACGTATTAGGGCTACCTGTGAGAGCCGACCAAACGGGATTAAATGAAATTCTCTCTGCCTAACGTGTAACGTCGCGACCAATTCGAATTTTCTGTTGTGCATCCATAAAGCATATTTAAGTAAAACAAACGATCGATTACTTATTGGGAACTACGTGTATGGACAGTCGAGTCTGAGTTCGAGTAAGAAAAGTGCAGGGATGCAGAGTAAGATATATTGGTGTCAGGCGTCGCGACGCCGAGCTAGAAAAACTTTTCTAATATTTATCCCATCTCACGTACCGGTATTCAAGATGGACCACAAGGATGCTGCATCCTGGATTCAATGCTATCTCGCGAAAAACGTGATAAAGGACAGGTGGCAGAGTGGGGATATTGAAAAATAGTAGCGTCCTTGACAAATGTCACGAGGGTCCTTTTTTTTGCTTTTCATCGGACAACAGGGAATAACGAGGCTGTCTGGACCGACGAGAGAAATTATATCACTGCGAATTCAGCAATTTTGTCTCATTGAGAATTCACTTATCGCATCGTTGTTTGTTGGACGGTTAAATTTATCACGTGCATTTCATTCTTTTAATATTTCAACATTTTTATCTATTTTCACTTTTTAATTGGATGTCATTGCGCGTCTACCGCATTTTTATTCTAGCTGACCTTGTCGTTATTACGCGTTTCGTTAGTATTTTTTAAAAGATTATCAATGTAATTATACATCCTCTTTTTCACTGTCTTCATATATATATGATTATATATATATAATTTTACGTTATCTTACGAATGGGTTTCTGCCTGGTTTTAGGGTGAAATAAAAATCTCTGCTATTTCCACGCGTTTCGCACTGCGAAGTGCGTATTAATGCGAAAGTCGTGCGTGCCGGGAATTTGTGATAACGCAAAAAGAAAAATCTTAACGATTTACCGTTTTGAATTTTTTAATTAAAAAAAATGTATATCTATACCTAATGCACGTGATTCAAGGCGAAATTTGTAAAAAAAATTATTTTCACGGATTTCGGTAATTAAAAAATGTAGAATCTTCATGAAAAAAAAAAAAAAAAAGAAAAAGTGTTTTTCAATTTCTTTCTTACTCGATAAATAACGTCAGCGAGCCACACGCGTTAATCACAGCAGGGTGGCCTCGTGTAAAAATTAATAAGCGCGCAAATGTAGTTTCAGTGCCTTGCAGAAAAGCGAGAAGCTAAATTAACCGTTTCACGTTAAAACCGCCGTGTCAGTCCGGCGAAGTTTAACTTCTGTAGAAAGGAAAAAGAGTAGACTGGTGAAAAAAAAAAGTTAGGTAGAGGAAATATAGGTACGCTCCGCTGCACTCAAAGTTACCAAAGGGACATAGAAAAAGAGTGAAAATGACGTAAATGAGCATACAGGGTAACCTATAAGATCTTGACTGAAAAATGAAAATGGAAATTCCCCAAAAAAATTTTAAGATTACGTTTGCTCGAATAAAAAATTACAAATCACATAAATTAAGAAATTTAAAGATACGTACCTTCTCGCCGCTATCGCTTGGCAGATAAAACGTGAGAACCGTAAGAAACGATATTCCCATACACGGTATGATGATATTGACTGTATAAAAGAGCGTCTTGCGTCTCATGGTGATATTGAAGGTTATGTCAAGATAAGGTTCGTCGCAGCAGGTGTAGAATTTTTCATTTCTGAAAGAAAGAAGAAAAAAAATCAAATTCAAATACTAATAAACGAATTCCAAAAATCCATATAGTCCTACACGATTACGAGTGAACGGAGGAACAAAGAATAATTCAAGAAAGAAGAAAGTCTCGATACGGCTAAATCAAGATGGCGACCGGTCCTCCCTCAAATCTTTAATGATATAACAAAGAAACTTTTTCACTATAACGTAACTTCTCAAAATGAGATCAGGTGGGTGGAAAGACGGTACTCCAGTCAAAAGACACGTCCACGGGTCAGGTTAGGTTATATATATAAATACAAACCACGTACAGGTCATCCTATCCACCAAAGGACGACTAGCGAGATTACCGTTGGCTGGACCCATCAAAACCTAAGGGACGCGCCTATAGGTACCTTTGGCCGACAGGGTGCGAGGACCCGTGTCAAAAGTTAGACCAATGTCCAAAGCAGATAAGGTTAGGGGTCAATTCGACGAACCAACAAGGGCTTGCGTAACAAGGTTGTGGTTTGATCCTACCTCGGTTCACTCAGATGGTTCTACATAGAAAAGTAATGCAATGACCTAATATTATTATTATTCACAAGAATACGTATATCTACTGTATACCGATATGGCCAGTTTACCCAGTATCTAAGAATCGAAGCGTCATAGGATATTCGGGTTAACCGTGGTACGGAATACAGAGGAATGTTTTATAAATGCTCAAGGAAAGTGACTTTATTGAGCTTGTGTTCAGCGAAGCTCAGACTCGCGGATGCTGCGGGCGAGATTAAAATTTCAAGCGTCTAACCTTCCTCTTTACCTGCATTAAAGCCGACTGACAGAAACACGTAGTATAAGTACCGACGTGCGTGGGGGGTTTATGAAAATTTTATAAATTTCATTTTATTCCATTTTAAGGAAAAAGGGCTAGGGGAGCCTGATAAAATTCTTTGGTTATCGGGTAAATTTCATTAGGCTGAGTAGCTTGTGTCTTCTTTACATGAAAATGCCAAAGATTTTTGGCAAAATAAAGGGAATCTGGGAAGAGCATGGGGAAGGGGGAGGGTTGCGAAGAAAGGAAAAAAATGGTTGATACAAACGGTAATAATAAAGAAAAAAGAATACGAAAGAAAAGTAAAGACGTAAAAGGATGGTAGTGTGGATTCTCATTGCTTTTGAAAGACCCTCGGCTTGTTTTTCAGTGCGGCTATCTCTCGCGTACCGAACCATTCCAGGCTCACAATCAGCCAAGCTTTAATCGAACGTCGAGAAATCCACTTTCAGGGGTACCAATTTTTTTTTCTTCCTTTTACGTCTTTTGTTCTTTTTTTCTTCGTTTCACCTATACCCTACGGCACAGCTCGATTTCCATTGTCCGACTCTGGTCAGCCTGTACGCTCGAAATTCGAGAAAATAGTTGAGGAAAAAAAATACGGGAACAAAATTATATAGCAAAGTCAACAAAATCAGTTACCTAACGGCAGGCACTTCCAAAATGTCCCACTCGACGGACATGTAGAACTCGGAAAGATCGACGCCGACGTCGACGACGTTGCTGCCCGATTTCTCATCCATGTGCCTCAGATCCACCTGTGGAAACGTGTATATATTTTTTTATTAAAAAAGAAACAAATTTTGACTTTTCATCAACCAGAAACATTATCAAAGCGCCGGCGGACATGACGCTCGACGTAATTATTTTTTTCAACGTAAATTTTTGTTTATGCTAACAATCAATTTTATATATGTTTTGGCATTAAGTGAAAAAAAGTATACACAAATGCATATAGTCTCTTGCACGTAAGCCGAGCTAGCCCTTGCTTGCTGGTATTGCGAGCCCGGTACTCTCTCTCTCTCTCTCTCTCTCTCTCTCTCTCTCTCTCTCTAGAATTATAAACTGAAATTAAAGTTCCTTTTATTGGTATTACTGGAACTCAATTCCGGAGTGCAATCCGCGAATATGTTCATTCGATCGCGAACGGCCGTCCCGTTGACACGAGCTTCGCGCAATTTCGAGACCGACGTAAGTCGATTAGCACACCGGAATTAAATGTCCTTTTAAATCTATTACGCAATTCTCTAGCATTACATACACTATACATATATATATATATATATATGTATATAAAAGACACACAGAAAAAAGAAACAGGCTCAACACATATTTCCACAGTCCCAGGCAACGGGGTCGAAAAAACACCCGAAAACATTGCGCATCTAAAATAAAAACAGAATTACTGGCAGACTACATAAATTATCGTTATCGTTATCGTCTTATCCACTCTTCGCCATTTCACCTAAACGAACAACTAACAGTAATAATAATCGTCAATTGGAGTCTCTGTTGTAAATATATATATGTCTATATATATATTGACGACGACTATATATATATTTTTTAATTACAATCAGCAAAAATGAAATAATAATTAATATTCAGATATACGTAAATTATTTATCAGCTTCCGTCACAGAGTCAGTAACCACCGGAAACACGTGGATCGATTTCATTAGCCGTTTCCCTTTTGGCTTACGATTAAACTGAATTCCAACGTTGACTGACAACTGTTACCAACAATGCCAACCCCTATCAGCTACCCTCAACCAATTGCTGTAACCTGGCCCGAATCACAGGAGATCAACCCCTATTTCGAAATACCCGTGTACACATATACATTTCACAAATTTATTACTCCTGCTCTGTCGTCTATCGTCATCTTTCTATTGTATATACTTAACGTCACAATACTTTAACGTCATTCTCGTTTAATCCGACGGTATCGCGTATCAATTTATTTGTCTCGTTAGTCCTTATCGAGGATGACGGTAAGGTGGGTAAAATAATTTTTTTGACGTAACGTAGGAAAATTTTTTAACGTCGTTTTAAGCAAATACACTTCCAGACGCGGTTCCTTGGGTACAAGCGAGTTACGTATTAGCCGGGCTTAACGCGTTCCTAGGAAAATATTTTTCCACGTTTCCAGCTACGCTCACGGAGTTAAGTACGCGGGGAAATGGCAGAACCGAGAGAGAAAGATACTCAACAGGTATGCGGCTTCCTCGGCTGGAGCCTTGGATGCTTTTGGTAAATTGGCCGGATCTTCAGTTATTCTGGTTACCTAAAGATCTTGAAAACGGTCGACTGCCCTTTGGAGGATACTTGGAATTTTCGGAGTGTCATAAGAAGTCGATGGGGAGTATATTAAAAAAAAAATTTTTTTACAGTTCATTTAGTTTTATACTTTATTTTGTAATTAGAACATTTGTAAAAATTTTTTTCTTCACTACACTATATTTTGACTAGGAGTATGTGTGTGTGTATATATATATATGTATATTCTGTGTGTATATTACATGTGTAATTTGACATGTTAACCATACGACTGCAATGCTCGTAGCCTTTTAATGTGACGTAAGGACGCGTTCGCGTGTAGTTCTGCTCTAAAGATCGGGGTTTAATTAATTGACGCCCAAATTGTTATCAGTGCTCAGGGAGGCGAAGGATTTTACGGGAAATTGTTTTAAAGGGAAAGTCTTTCAGAAAAGAATTAATGCTAAGGGTACTGTAGGGCTTTTAATATTATTTGAGAAATGTCGATCTAGTTAAATTAAAGGACTGGAGCGTAAGAAATCGTTTTTTTTTCCCCTTAACTTTTACCCCGGCAAAAAATTCGAGTGTTCTTTTAGCCAAGGGGTTCGTGGCAATTTGGACGGATAAAGTTTTGCTTTACGAAAGAGAGAAAATGGGGACTGGAAGAGGCGCCGATAAGGAGTGCCTGTATGTACTTTTGGTTAAATTGTGGATTACTAGATTTCAATTCAATGTATATATATTTTTTTTTTTTTCGATACGTTTCATCTACTTAACGCTGTTCTCACTGAAGCAAGTAAACGACGCGTCCTTTACCTCCTACTGGCAATCATCGAAGGATTACCGGAAGCGGGATCTAATACTTTCTCGATGCCGGCGCTTGACTAACGCGAAGCCACAATTCCGCCCGAGCGGCGATTTATTAACGTTACACTTCCGTAGTTCGTTGCGTTTCTTCCGTCAATTTTTCTTTTTCTTTTTTTTTTTCATCACGTTTGCCCTTTATTTTTTTTAAGGGTTCGTCACTGCCACCCCTTGCCCCTCTTTCCCGCGTCAGCACTTTGGCAACCCTCACGACTTTCACTCTATTTTCTTTTCTTTCTATGTAATCCCGCGTCACCCGAAAAACTTATCGACGCCTATCCCCACCCTCTCCTACTTTTGTCGCGACGCCCGGCGTCGTCGTCCTTTTTCCTCGGGTTTCCTGCACGCGCAGCACGGACGACAAAACTCTTGAAAAAATAAATTTCGAATTCCTTCACCGAAAAGGCAAACTTTGGGTTTAATTTTTTTCAAGCAGTCCTTATCACGCGCACGTGGTCCAGCTCACCGATCCCTAAGGGATGGTCTCTCGGATTGGATCGCAAAGACACTTGGCAATAGTACGAAAAAGAGATGCTCGAAGTTATCGTGCTGATAACTAATTCACTAAGGTTTTCCAGTTCGGCTGAACTTTGGCATATTTCATATTCCGTCCACTGCTGTTCCTTTTTTTTTGGCCATTTGTCATTTTTTTTCTCAAGTTTCCACACCCTCCCTTATACGAAAGCTTATGCTCGCCACTAGCACTGAATGGCCCAGGAAATATTGGCTGGTTCGAAATTCGAGCGAAGGCGTAGAGATTAAAAAAAATTGTGTTGGTACATTATTTTTGAGCGAATAAAACCAAATAAATTGACCAACATAAATATTCTATATAATTATGTAATCGTATCGTACAATTTTAAGAGAAAAGGGATAAATCCTAAATTTCCTAAAGCCCTCGCGTCAATTACGTAAACACTCTTAATCTATTTAGAACAGAGGAGCGAAAGTTGCGAACAATAAAACCGAGCCAAAGTGCCGTGGACATTTTTGACTTTCAACTGGGCCAGTCCTCATCGCGCGACAAACTGCACTTCAACAAGGAACAATAGAGGCACGCGTCGCTCATCGCGAGTGCAGAGTTATCAAGCATTTCTAGTATGTCTAGACAGCGGATGCACGCGTCTACGATAGAGCGAGATACGGAAGGCGTCGCGACGCCCTCATTAAGTAAAATTCCATAAATACACAGTACCACGTAATTTGTTCGTGGCTTTTGCAAGTTTCCGAGAATATGGAAAAACAAAGAAAAAATTCATTAAAAAAAAGCACAAACCTAACCTTCTATCCGAAGCAGCAATTTGCTATTCTAAATATCCAGCCAGTACTATTTGGTTCAGAACACTCGTATCTATAGAGTGACAAACAAATGTGGTCGTTGTTCGATAAAAAAAAAAGAAGAAAAAAATCTAAAGAGAAAATAGAAAGAAGAGCGATAAAAATGGTTGCCGATAAGTAATACTCGGCTTTGGAAGAATCGATGGTCTCTGTGCGATTACTATTGATCTGATGGCCGATGGGAGAGTCGAAAGTGCATAGGAGAATATATATACGTATATAGAAAGAGAAATATGGTGAAGGATACTATGTAAAGCGTTACCTCCAAAGTCGGAAAAGTTTCTAAATGAAATTTATCGGTCTGCCCAGAAAGGATAAATCATACGTAAATTCGGAATCTGGGTTAATCGGATTGGCCTAAGCGACACCGACGCCTTCCGTCCCCCAGCCCTACATACCCTACCGTGGATTACGTTTGCTACATGGCAACCCACGATAAAAAATATCCAGTCGTATAAACCACCCCTCCAACCCCACTGTCACCTACTGAACACCAATTGGCTCCGTTGAGTTCTCATTTTTTGTCATTACGTCATCCCACCTTGTACCAGTTGACCGTCGTGATGAATTGCGCCAAATGATGACCGATGGGAGGAAATATTTTTTTTGTCATCCTTATCAACCACCCGACGAGGACGTGATGGGGGAGAATAAAGAGGGTGCTACTCGAAATTTCTCAAAATATCAATTTTTTATAAAAATTTGTTACGTCGGTTTGATTTTTTTTTTTCGACCTACCTCAACCGAGTCAGTTGAAGGGAAACGGGATGACCTTGAAGATCTTTGTATACGCTTTCAAGTATAGGGATATTTAAAAATTTCACTTTCACATACGATATACAGATTTTTGGAAATTCGCCACTCTACGTGTAAATCTTAGGCGGTTGCAGTTTGAGAATTCAAACGAAATCGCGAAAATTTTCTCGCGCGATTTAACGGTACTGTTAACTATGGCGATAGACGCTTCTATCGACTGATAAGGATATCGATCGGACGTTTATCGAAGCTTAGTAAAAGCTGTGCAAAAAGCTATAAAGATCTTCAATCGTTTTACAGTGTCGCACTGTGTTGTCCAGAGGCAGTCGCGTAAGTTTCTAAAGAAAATTATAGACGGTGGTACTGAAAAAAAAAGTTGACAGGAAATGCACGTAAATTACAATCGGCCAATCGGACGGCTGAAATCTTTCCAAAGACAAGAAGGGTCGCTATCACGTTGTAACTGTGAAGTTGGCTACGAAGTGGAGTCAAGTGGAAATGGATGAGTGCAGGATGAAGTGGCGCCAAGTACCAAGAGGGA